TTGAGAGAGAGGTTGCTGGTTCGGTTTTGATAAGTGACATTAGTTGGGTTCTGTACAGTTCTTGGGCTTTGGATATTGCGTAGTTGATATGGGTACTCCAGAGCAGCTTCGCATCTAGATAAACTCCCAGATATTTATAGGAATCCACCCAGGGTATTTCTCTCTTCAAATAACCTGAGTGGTTGGGGGAGTTGACTATGGACGTTCCTCTTTCTGGAAAAGAAAACGGTGGCGGCACTTTTTGCGACGTTAATTTTGATTTTCCAGGTAATGAGCCAGGACTCCAAGTCTGTTAAATAAAGTTGAAGGTGATTGAGAGTGGCGTGTAAGTGTTGGCTGCTGTGAGAATGATGGCTGTGTCGTCCGCACAAAGGCTAGCTAGATCGACACTTGGTGTGATTGTGGTATGTCATTTACATACAAGTTGAAGAGCGTAGCGCTAAGAATTCCTCCCTGAGGCACCCCCGCCAGGATAGGCCGAGGAGAAGAAACAGAATATTTAACTTTGACAGAAAAGGTACGATTATTGAGGTAAGAGTGCATTATGTGCACGAAATTAGCCGAAATTTCAAGTCGCATGAGCTTGAATAAAATTCCGATATGCCAACACCTGTCGAAAGCCTTTGCTACGTCTAAATAGACTATAGTTGTAGGCTTTCCACTGCGAGATCCTGTGTGAATGATTTCTACTACCCTCAGTAGCTGGGTCTGAGTTGAGTGTTTTGCGCGAAAACCGAATTGTTGAGGAATAATAATATTTCGGTTTCGGCAGAAATCATTCAGGTATCTAAGCAGTATAGCTTCGTAAATTTTACTAAGTGAAGACAGGAGGCTGATCGGTCTGTAATTTTGAGGGACCTTTGGGTCCATACCAGGTTTTAGAATAGGAATGACTAAAGCATTCTTCCAGCTATTAGGATAATATTTTAACCTTAGCATTGAGTTTATTAAAACTGCTAGGTAAAATATGAATTTTAATAGGCAAATTTTTAATCATGCGATTAGAAATCCTATCCAAGGCCAGGTGCTTTTGCAGGGGTGAGATTTTTGACAAAGGCAGAAATCTCAGTCATTGGTTGTGGTGAATGGGTTCCTCAGAAGTTGTATCTGAGGAGAGAAATTCTTCAACTTGGTGTTGGACTTCATGCGTATGCGTTGCACAGGAATCGAACATGAGTCCAGTGTTTAGGTGAAAATTGTGTTTGAAGACTGTCCGCTATGCGTTCAGCTTTTTCAGTATCTGTTAATGCCATCCGGTCATTGACCGTGCTCATTAGGGGGGGGGGAATGTCGTGTTTAGGTTTGCGAAGCCGTGCGCTAGCAACCCAGAAGGCTATTATCAGAAGTCTTTAAGGACTTAAGATAGTTTGAGTATTTTTCATCTGTGTATTTTTAATGTCAGACTTGATCTCATTCTGGATTCTTCGCAGTTGTACTCGAAAGGATCTTCTAAAAGTGTATTTTTGCCAATCTCTGCGAAGGCGGTTTTTAATTTTGATTTTTTTTTCTTAATGATGTCAGGTAATTTATAATAATTTTGCCTGAATTTGGGTTTGCAAGCTGCTGTAAATGCACTTCCTAGGGTTTGGTTGAGCCTGTCAATGGCTAAGTCAACCTCCTCATAGACTTGGGTGGTAATTACTTGCCCGCACTAAAGGTACTACTTTATATTTTTCTTTTTCTAACTTTATTAAGAAAGTTTTTTGGCGGAAAACTTTCATTACAATCAGATATTTAACACTAGAACGGCGGTAGGGGTCATTTTGACCCGAAACACTTTTGAGCGTTGATTACTTTTGTTTTATTGGAAGAAATTGTTTAGAATTTTTTGACTTTTCCTAAATAGTTTATAACGTTGCGCGCCTCCAACTTGCACGCAACCAAGAGGTGACTGTGAAAACTTGTATAAAAGATAGAGCCTAGTGAAGGGTTTAAGTCCCTTTTTATTCAACGTAATAAATTACAATTGCGTCCTCTTGACGCTTACAGACTGTGCCAACTTGGCAGTCAAATAAAAATAATAACCTGAAAAGAAAATAAAGACAAGATTCTAACTACGAGGCTCTCTAAAATAACTAACTCACTGCGTTTTACAATACGGCTGCTAATTCAGCAGACTTGAAGCTCACTGGAACGATTACCACTACTTCCCGCCAAGCACATAGGCCGCAACGCGGGGTTCTTCAATTCTCGCTAACTACCTCCGCGCTCGCTAAGTAAGAAATACACACACCGAACTCGTTTCCTTGCTATTTAACTCATACTACTTCCGCTGATAATTTGAATCCTTGCGCGTTCCACTCAAAATTTACATATTCTGGCATTGGCAGTTCCAGGGGAAAGTAAGGCTTGACAGGAAAGATAGTTTAAACTTAAAATAAATGTTAGTTAAAATAAATATAAACCCTACAAGTTAACAAATATTTGTAAAAAAAACTTCAGCATTCTAGGTTTGTTAGTTTTTGAAATATTGGCATGTATTCCTAGAACGGCGGACGGTGGTCATTTTGACCCCTTTGCTTTTGTCCCTCTTTCTGCTCGAGGTATTGTCAAATAACCCATGAAAAACATTCACTGAGAATTAGTTTTCGATTGCATTCATACTATCTTCCAGAGGGATAAAAACCGTTGTGGTCTCACTACTTTGTAATGTCTACATAAATTGTTGTTCCTTTGTTTGCAATCTATTCGTTTGAAGAAAATATTGCAAGGAAGGTAGATTGAGGGTTTTTCATGCTCTTCAGAAATAGTTTATTTTACAAATGTATTTTCCCGTTTGTTAGTTCAGCTTACTTATTGCAGGTGATAAGAGTTAGGATTGATGTTTTCTTGGTAATTCCAAATCAGTATTTCAGTACATACGAGTTCTGCCTTCACGTTCATTATCACCTTTCCTTTAAGCTGTGAGAATCATATGCTAAAATATATTGCCTATCGGTTTCTGATAGTCTGATATTTTTCTACTTTTCTTAACTTTTACAAAATATGTCTAATAAGCGAGAAAGAGGTCTTGGGGACGGAGAAATTACAAAATTGTTGCAGGAGCTATCTGAAATTGAGTCTGAGGGAGGTGAAATTGATAATTTTCCTGTAGAAACTGAAGATGAATTCCAGACACAAACTATTAGTGAATCTGAGGACAGCGATATAAACGAAAAAGAACTCAGCAGAAATAAACGGGCAAAAACGGTTATAAAGAGAAAAAAGGGTCAAGTACCGAGATGCAATGGAAAGAAATCTCAAGAATATTGTGCATCTTGTTCCAAAGTTGTGAGTGGAAAATGCACTGGAAAAAGTGTTAAAAATTATTTTTGTATTAATTCTTAATACGTATGTGTAATCTCTAATATTTTAAACATTAAATAGAATTGAAACAAAATGCTTTAAATATTCCATTCAGCTATACATATAATAATATATCTAAAACATCAGAGAACATTTCTCATTTCTGGATTTAGAGAGGGAATCATCCTCCGAGCAAATACATAAGAAATATTATTATATAAATTGTGTTTTATTTTCGTTAACATTAGTTTTAATTTGTGAAACCATTTATTTGAAATCAATTCTTATATCAAATTAATTAGTTATTTGAGTAATAGTAGTATGATCCAATTAATCGCCATGTACTCGATACATTTACAGTATTTTAAAAAGTCAATAAATTATCATGTGATATTAAATATAAATTATGAAATACATATAAAGTACATATTTGTGCCAATGTATGGCATTTAAAAGTGTTTTACCGTTGTTATTTCAGTACTTTCATGGAAGGATCAAAATAACCCTTACCGCCGTTCCAGTAGGTAAGATTTTTCCCGCCGTTCTAGTGTTAAAATCTGAATATAATTAAACTCATAAATTAAGGTATACGTAACAATAATCAAACTAATAAATTAAGATATATAAAAAAATCCTAAAATTAAAAGGGATAGATAAATATTTTGCAGGATTCTATTATTAATCTTGTGCAGTTAATACTTAATGTAACTTTATTGAGATTATTATTACTTAATGTAACTTTATTTTTAAGAATTTTCACAAGCAAAAAAAAAAAAAAAAAAAAAAAAAACTGAAATATTTCAGATTTTAAATTACGTCCAAAGGGGCTTTTTTTTTTTTTTTTTTAAGTTTAGTGTGGCGATTTTTATTTATTAAATATCATGTTCTTTGCACTTAAACCATAAAATTTAGTTCAATAGCAGTGTTGCGAAATAATTTTAAAATGAGCATATCTTTAGAATTTCCGATACACAGTTCGACGCGCTGGAGATAAAAAGTTTTTTTTTTTTTTTTTTTTTTCCCGTAGAGTGTTGCCATTGCTCGCTTTTAAATAGTTGAGTTTGTTACTCAAAAATTCTTTAAAGTTTTACAAAATATGAAATCGATAATAAAACAAATTCCAAATTTCAAATTTGGGATTCCAGATGCCCATATTCGTAGTAGGATTACGTCATTCAAAATTCGATTGTTCTATGTAGCGTTGTTTTATCACAATACGAGAAATATACAAAATGCCAAAACGAAAGTAATAGTCCTTCGGGACTCAAATCCCTTTGGACTAAAAAAAAAAACTTTGTTCAATTTTTTTATGTTAATGTTGCGTTTTCTAGCAGCAATTCAAAATTTTAAAATAGCTTTCCAATTATTTTTCCCTTTCTGCAGGAAAAGGGTTATTTTGCGTGACCTTTTTAAGTGTTGTCCTGAATTAATCTACGATTTGACATTGAAGTTATCATATTCAGACATTAAAAGAGAAACAAAAATGATAGTTTTCGTTTTTTTAGCATATTGCTCGAGATTTCAAACACGAAACAACGGAATATTCTCATTAAATTGTATGTTCAGTTATTTCGTGCTATATATTTTTTTTAACTTTGTGTAAATCTGTTCACTTTAATGTCTTGCTTGTTTAATCACCTGGTTAAGTACTCCTTATAATAGTAATTGCTTAGTCAGAAAAAGCGTCTCTGACAGCTGAAGTTCTCTCCGTTCGAAACGTCTGTGAAACACGCATAGAAAAGATGAGCCGAAAGGAAGTCCTGATTTTGCTTTGCATCTTTCACATCCAAAACAGGAGGGTTGAAGGTATGTTATAAAGATACACTTTTAATTTCAAACTCGGATTTGCCTTTAACACATTTTGCAAATTTTAATTTTGTAAAATTAGATACTTTTAAATAGTGATAAACAGGTTAATTAAATTAAGAAGTAATCATCGAAGGAGTGATTTCTTTTAACTTTTTACTCTCTAGTTGGGGTTATAATGATCTGGGCTCTCCCTGATACTCAAAGGCTGTCTTACCAACTCATGGATAACCAGTTCTGAATAACGTTTACTTATTACACGCGGTTCTCTCATGATTTCTTTATAGTGTGACCGACTGCACGTATTATATTTAGCTCAGCCCTGTTATATTACATTAAACTTATAGAGTATTTTCTCCTTCCTTTCCGCATGCTTTCGTGGTGTAGTTGGAAGCATAGTCGACGCATATCGAGAGGTCCAGCGTTCGAGTCCTGGAGAGGACATTGTACATTTTTCACTCCTCACGCTTCAAAAAAACCTAATGACCCTACAAGTGGCACCCGAATTAAAAGGTGGTGGACTGTAATTCGTCACCAGGATTTGGGGTGTGGATCCTCTAATCCCCAGTCGCCCTTTAAACGGGGGAGTATATAAAGTATTTGTTCTTCCTTTCTGCATGCCTGCGTAGTGTAATTGGAAGCATACTCCACAAGTACTCGAGAGGTCCATGTTTCGAATCTCGCTAAGGGTGCTGCCTGATTTAAATAAGATAGAACTTAAAACGAAATCAATAGCAAAAAGTTATAAAATTCAAATATCATTATTTTGATTTTATGGTGTTCCTTTTCTTCGAGAGGAAGTATGGTAACATTTGATATTGTTGTATTTTAGAATGAGATCTCTCGAAAAATTATAGCAGTGTTCCTTTGTCCATGCTTTCAGCTCGGAAATTTCTTTGCTTCCGAATTTATTCTTTATTTGCTTTAACTAAGTTAAACAAAAATTAGCTTCATTTTATTCCTATGTTTTCCGTGCTCTTCAAGTTTGCTCCTCCAGACTAGCATTTGATGAAGAACTAAATTATTTAAAAGCAACAGCTATTGACAGGGGCTTTTCACCCAACATTATTAATCAAGCAATTAAAATATTCTCATCTCAACACACTAAAAGGCACACTCTTGTTTTAGGAGATTATAAAAATTCTGTTGTCATTCCCTTCTTCCCATCAATTAGCTATAAAGTTGCACATATTTTACAGAAATTTAACTTTCGGGTTGTTTATTATCCCATCAATAAAATTCCGAGTTCCGTACTCAAGGACCCCATTCCGGATATGAATTCTTGGGGTATTTATAGGATTCCTTGTCAGTGTGGTTTGATTTACGTTGGCCAAACTAGGAAAGCCTTAAAATTTCGCGTCAAGGAACATGAGGCAAAAAGAAAACAAAACAAAAAAAAAAAAAAACACAGAAGAAAGAAAACACAGAAGTCCTCTGTTGCTCAACATTGTTGGTCCGAAAATCACACTTTCAATTTTTCTGCTGCCAAAATTATTCAAAAAATATCTTCCATTATAGAACTGGATTTTATACAGGCATTTCACATTCAAAAAATCTTTCTGTTCTAGTTAACGATCCTAATTCCAATCCATCTTTGCCTTCGGCATTTAAAGAAATTATGTTTTAGTTCTGGTTTGACAAACAGATGGCGCCACTTGCTTATTCTTGTCCAGGCTTTCTTATCTTATCTAATCATTATTTCCTATCTTGTTCATTTGCGGTTTTGCAGCTGAAGATGGTGGTTCGGTAAAACCCTCGAAACTAGTCCTGTGAAAATTTTGAAAATATAACGCTGATTTTTTTGTTTGACTTCTGAATTAGTAAGTTAAATGTTTAATGAAAGAGTAAAACACTTTAATGCTATCTAAATAATCTTCTTAAAATCTGTCAGATCAAACGGTTTTCATTGCCTTGAAACTTTTATAATATTTAAGTTTCTTTTGCTACCTTAAATATGTTCCTTCGGGTTTTTTAAACAAATCTAATCCTGCATGCAGTAACCTAGAAATAAGGGCATCTAGGCAATGAAATATAAAATTTCTTGTGCTCATTCGAAAGCAAATTATAAATGTTTCAGTATTCTCCTCAAAAGATCTTACTGTGTAATGAATTTGTAAACCATATTTGATAGTTACATGAAACTACCAAATTAAGTATTAGAACCTGGACATTATGATACAGTGTTACAGCTCCACATCATCAAAAGTAGTGTATCTATTACAAATGTGTCGTAGTTGGTTGTCTGTTATCATATTATATTAATTATTCCAATTTTTGACGTGGGAATCTTAGTAAGATAAGACTCTTATAAAAATTTTCAAACTTTTTATTACGTACGATGTTCTTATAAATTTAATTGCGGTTGTAGAACTCGCCGTTTCTGCTACAAATGTTTTCAGCTCTTTTAAAAAAGAATCAGCTGCTATTAAAGGATTATAAATTAAGTATTATTTTAAATATGAAATAGTACATTATGTCGTGAATAAGCTAGTTATATGTAACTAAGATATTATTGTTTCAGTTTACAAGTCTTAACTGTATTTAAAATTTCTGTTTGGTATGTATACTTTGATTCCTTTCTTCAAATTTTCTTTCGTGAATCTTTTTATATGCTCTTTTGCAGACCATCTTAAACCGATGTTCTCCATTTTATTACAATTATTTTTATGATTATGTATATCATATTTATTCACAATTATAAATATAGTCTTCCACGACAATTTTTCGTTTTATTTTAAATATATTCATACTATTATTATACAAATAGCTGTACTCTTAACCTTTGCCTTATATCTTCTCTTAACCATAGTAGATTCTGTTATCGATTTTACACGTTATTATATTGCATGTCATAATTAAATGCAGATAAAAATGTATAGAGAATCATATCATTGCAGGAGATGACTTTTTCATGACTGGGGGTGCGCGATTTAAATGCTTTCCCAGTCAGATACCGGAGGACTGCAATCAAGATTTCACAGATGCTTATCCAGAACTTTCAAGATCTGTGAGAAATGATACATTAGCGGATACCTACTTCTATTTTTTAACAAGCAAAAATCCGGACGTACCAGAGCCGCTTCACAAATGCGGAGGAAAACTGCCAAAGGGTACAAACTTCAATCCAGAAAACGAGTTTAAAATATACATACAACCATTTTTTATAAATGTATGCGATACTGCTATAGCGAGGGTAAGAATTTACAAATTATTACCTTATTCAAATTTGCCAATTAATGTTTTCTGTTTAAATTATTATTATTATTATCATTATTATTATTATTGTTGTTATTACTGTTATTATTTTAACAAAAGGGAAGTTATTAGTCTCGAAATGCACTTCTCATGCCTATCACTTTTACATCTGAATCACTTTCATATTGTTGACACCAAATGTTATCGTGATATATTATTTTTCAAATAAATTAAACGATGAAGAATATGTACGTGTGTATGTATGTTCCTCGCATAGTTAAAAATCGATGATACCGAGAGCCAGGGAATTTTTAATATACTTAGTCCTCCATCTGAACATGGGCAACTCAAAGCCCAAATTTTGAATTTGCTTTTGATTTAGTAGCCCAAAGTGTTAATTTGTCCAGAAAGGCTATTAATTTCGTTTTGGAATTTTGCGTCGTCCACTATAAAACGTCTATTCAGTTTTTAAACTGTTGCCACCAAATATTAGAGCTCTGTATTATATTTAAAGAAATTAAATAATGAAGAATCTGTATGTTTTAAATAATGAAGAAATTAAATAATGAAGAATATGTATGTTTTTCGAATTGTGTAAAAACGACTGTACCTAGAGACATCAAAAGCTGGAAGCCGAAATTTGGAATTTGTTTTATTATCTATTTCATATATTGTAAAAATTTAACGAAATTTTTATTAACAAACTCAATGATTTCCAAGCGAGCAATGGCAACACTGTACGAAAAAAAATACCTCCAGCGCTTGAGACTGAGTATTGAAAATTCGAAAAATATGCACGTTTTAAATATCTTGTTAAAATGCTGTTGAATTCAAATTTGTGGTTTCAATGGAAAAACTTGATATTTAATGAATAAAGGTAACACAAAAAACTTTAAATAACGCTATAAAATCTTAAAGGCTTTGAGATTTTTAAATTTTTTTCTTCTTATTTTGTACAAATGTAACGAATTTTTGTTTAACAGAAACACAGCGATTTGAAAGCGAAAAGTGGCAACACTGTTTGAAATTTTAAAAAAAATTATCTCCAACGCGCTAGCCTGCAAACGTTGGGCAAAATGTAAGATATTTATATTTCAACTTTAATTTACAAATTCGGTTATTTGAAAGTAATGTGCTGCCACTAGTTCAAATAGAATCCTCGCGCATCACTGTGTTACCACAGGGAAACATTCAAATTTAATCTTTCTATTTCTGAGTAGCAAATCCAAGGAACTTAAAAGCAATAAACGCACTTCTTAAAATATTTTTATATTTTTTAATCTAATTAAAAAATTAAATAATGAAGAATGTGCACAAAAATGTGCCTTTTTCTCGCATTGTGAAAAAACAACGGTACCTAGAAACAACGGTCATCAAAGTTTGAATAACATAGTTCTCCACCCGAACGTGTGTATCTGATAGGCCGAAGTTTGAATTTAGAATTTGTTTTAATATCTATTTCATAATTTGTAAAACTTAAGCAAATCGTTCAGTAACAAACTCAACGATTTGAAAGCGAGCAATGGCAACACTGTACGAAAGGAAACATTTTATCTCCAGCTTAGATGACTGTCTATCGGACATTCTAAAGGTATATTGGTTTTAAATATTTTGTGATTTTGCTGTTGAACCGACTTTTATGTGTCATAAGCGTCAAGAACTTGATATGTAATAAATAAAGGAACTAAAAAAAGTTAATAATAAAAATACAATAAAAAGTTTTGTCAAGCCATCGTAATAAGAAAACATTGATATGATAAACTGAGAAAAGACTGAAAAGAACAGAAAAATGTATGCCAGTATTTAAAGCTGTGCAATGAATTCTTAACGTATACTGGTATGCAGCCTTTATAATTTTGAAGTTGAATTGTATATAGCGTAAATGCAAAGAAAATGATGCTTAATAATAAAGCTAAAAAGACAAAGACACTGTTAGGAGGAGGGAGTCTAACAGCAGTATGGTAGACTACGAGCTCAACGAGAGCTTAAACCCTTTTGGACGACCTTTAAAAATCTGTAACTTTTGTGATATTATTATTATTATTGTTTTGATTTTTGAAACTAATGGATTATTCAAGTGGTATTACTTGATAGTGCGTCTTATATCGTCTTATACTTAATTTAAAGGAAATGAAATAACAATGTTAATAACAGATTTTATTAAAAAAAAAAGAACGAAATAAAATCAAAGGGCTATTTCCTTTGTTATAAACTCTTATTTATTTATTTTTAGGACGTAAAATAAATTTCTATACCCATATTTTAATTTTTCGCAGTATCCTTTGTCCAAGAAAATGCTATTAGCAGGAAATTTTATGAAAAGAAGCAAGTTAAAAAATTTCTTTAGTGAATAAATAATTTTATCTTTTGAATTTGACTAATACGCTATTACTCGTATTCATTGATAATAATGCAGAAACAGAATTGCTTTTACTTTGAGTGCTTGCTGCGTGGATAGATAAAATGATGATATTACATTAAATGAAAACACTTGATATTTTTCTTTAACTGTGCATAAAGATCGCGTGTTTCCGCTTTATCAAAAAGGACAAGAGTTTAAGCACATAATTTGTATACTTTGGTAATAAAAATAAGTGTTCTACAAATTCTATTTACATAATTCATCTACAATTTTATATCACGAATAATAAAAGAGTCAAGCGTCCATGATAAATTGAAAATCATAATGGCTATTACATTTGACAATGCAACTATATTAATAAATTTCTTCATTTAGGCTCCCAACGCTTTTGTTATTCGTGATATAAAATTGCAAATGAATTCTATAAACAGATTTATTTAATCTAATATTCTCATTCAATGTATGATAATTTCCCTCCTTGCTTTTAGTGAGTTAATTATCTTATTTTAAATAAAAACTTATTTTATAAAAACATTTTTTTAATTTTACTTTATTTTACATTTTTAGTCTGAATTACATTTTGTCTATGATGAAATTTTCAGTCATTATTAAAACAAGTGCAATAAATTATAAGGAAATTGTTAATTAAAAAAAATTAACTTCATTCATAGAGTAGAGGTTGGGTTATTCAATTATGGCAAAGCACACGAGGGCTATCTGCCTAAAGGGAGGGATGCCTTCGTGGAGGACTTTTTAAGAGAAACTGGCTCGTATACACGTTACACATGGGGTAAACCACGAAAACGCCCATGCAGCCAGCCCGTTCACAGGATTCGAACCTCGGACTGAACTACCAGTGTTCAGCGTCTTTACCGCTCGGCCGCTGGTGGGCGTATAGAGTAGAGAAATCGCTTTGAATATTCTGATTATCGTCCACAGACCTTGCCAACTACTAGGACCAGAGGGATATCTTTGCCTCCTATGAAAGGACAGGCAAATACAACTATACTGCCCTCTCTCGGATTCAGAACCGGGGACTTTCGTATCGCAATCGGCTTCCCTATCCACTATACCGTATGGGCGGTACAAACATTTGAAAATGAAGCTAAAGCAAAACAAAAAAATGAATGTTGCCAAACTGTCACTAAGTGAGCCAAGTTGGTAAACTCAAAACACTTTTCTTTAAGCCTGCTTTAGACTGCAATACATATTTTTTTTAAAAAAAAGTAGAAAATCTTTCAATCATATTTTTTTATGATTCTTGTTTTAAAGGCGAGCAAAAGTTTGTTTTATAATCTGTGATAATTTTAAAATTTAATATCCGATGGTGTCCGCCGAAAACATCGCGGACGAAAACGTCGCGAAGAAAACAACGCAAGGCGAAAAGTTCGTGGAACAAAAACATCGTCGGAGAAAATAAAGCAAAGAAAAATCATCGTGATACAAAATATCGTCTTCGAAAATAAAGCGGTTCGAAAAATTCCCAGCTTAAAAATATCGTCCTCGAAAATATCGTGGTAAAAAATAAAGTACCTACAAATAATCGCATGCCGATAGCATCGCCGACATGCCTTTATCAAGCTTTAATAATTGTAAAAGGATACTCGCATAATGATTTGCGAGAGCAAGATGAAAAGAAGGATGATTTTTACTTTCATATTTTTTATTAACTAATAAAAATTTTTTAAAACTTAAAATGGAAACTTAAGCATAGAAAATTAATGCAACTTATAGCACTTATTAGAATTCAAACTGGCATAGTTAACTAACAAATGTCATTAATAAATTATTTTTAGTTTTACCAGTTCTACTGGTAATTTTTCATGAAAAGTATAATCTAAAAAAATAGAAATATGAAGATAAGTAACTGCATGACTTTATAAAAAAATTGCCAAGTTAACTATTTGATTATTTTCTCCACTTTTGTTAATCTGATACTCTTATAGTGAAAATTATTTCTTGTTTTGTTTAAATTTCTTTTTGTTTTTTTAAAAAATTATTAGTTAATAAAAAATATGAAAGTAAAAATTATCCTTCTTTGCGCTCACAAATCATTACGTGAATATACATTTACAATTATTAAAGCCTGAAAAACGCATGTTGCGATGTCATCGTCTTGAGATGATTTGTAGGTACCTTTTTTTACCACGATATTTTCGACAATGATGTTTTTAAACTGCGAAGTTTTTGAACGGCTTTACTTTCGACGACGATATTTTGTACCACGATGTTTTGGAACTGCGATATTTTCTCTTTGCTTTATTTTCTCCCACGATGTTTAGTACCGCGACGTTTTCGCCTTGCGTTGTTTTCTCCGCGACGTGTTCGTCCTCGATGTTTTTGCCACGTAACCTATCCGATACAATTTTAGCTGTTGGAATTTAAAAATCAGAAGCGCCAAATAAGGACAAAAGTGAGAGATTTTCCAAAAATTCTCCAAAGTTAGGAAACTAAGTTTAATTTTATTGAAAAGATTTTTTTCTGTTGTATTCTGTGGCGAAAACAGTAAAAATATGATTTGCCTACTTTGTTTGTTAAACGAAGATATCTGCGAAATATTTTCTTAACGCTTCCAATAGGTAAACTTCTATTTTTTGTTTTCTTCTCAGGAATTTTTTACTGCTAAATTTAAAAAAGCAATATGTAAAATTTATAAAACATCAATTAGAATTCAGCCTAGAAAGAATTAATTATTACTAAATCTAAACCAAAAGAACGGTCATTTACGAATAATACTGTACAAATTTTGATTCAGGTCGCCAGAGGCCGAGCGGTAAAGTCGCTGGTAGTTCAGCGAATCCCGGCAAATGGACTCGCTCATGGAGGCTTGGGTGGTACGAGCCAGTTTTCCTTAGGAAGTCCTCCTCGAAGGCATGCCTCCAGAATATCTGTTTAAGAGAATAGATGCCTTTGTAGAGGTCTTTCTCAGAGCTCTGACTCATATTTGCAGTACACATGGCAGAGAGAGGACAAAAGCTCACATTTAGACAACCCATTGCTTGAGAAGCTTTGTGAAATTTGAACTTGGCTCGAAATGTTAGTGTTTAGTCGGATTACTGCTTTACCGCTGGCTTTCTACCAGAATAAATATGTGGGAAAGAATCGACAATCAGCAATGTTTTCATCCTTACTTGTGCCAGTTCGTACGCTGAACTACATTTTGTTTAATTTAAACTGCACAAATTTATTTTAATCAAGTATTTATCATTTACACATATTGCTAACTAACTAACACATCTGCTAATTGTTTGTTAAATCTTAAGGCTGTCAGACTATTTCTGTAGATGTTCGGATTTTTCATGCAGGGTATGTTTGGCAATTTCTAGTTTTAGTGTACGGTTAATAGTATAAGTAATCTACTTAGATTCAAATTTCTGAAATTTAACATGTTTTTGTTTACTTTTTGAATAGGAAATGAAGGATCAGCTTCTCGAAAGAGCAGATTTCAATGTTATGATAGTGGATGACAGTTGGGCAATGAGTTTTGATGCACCATCTGCTATAGCCAATGTAGAACTGATTGGAAAACAAGTAGCGACCGTTTTACAGAACATACAGGTACCAGCGCATAATTTATGCATAAATATTACGTAAGACAATTTTATGATAGTATTTCGTGAGAGAAATTTTAGCAATATATCTAGATTCTGCTCGTGAAAAGGAAAAATATTTAGTAAATATACTTTTAAAAACCATTTCTAAGTATATACTTCAAAGTTCATTACATGCAGGTGTAATGTTTTCACTCCTAGCGCACCATATACGATATGCTTCAGTTTCTCTTCGTAAAATCATCCCATTAAGTACTGAAATAGAGCATTATATTTGAATTTTCAAAAGCTGATAAATTGGGTAGGCATATCGTGAAAATTTATGGGAAGTTTTCTCCTAATTGCAAACTTGACGTTTGCCGACATAAAACTCAACTGCGATTAAAGTCAGTAATGTAAACTAACCCAACCGTAGCCTGTTTTTACAGCTGGAGAAATAAGAACACTAAAAGTGTCGTTTGCGTTTGCTCGTTTTTCATTCTTTTGGAGAAAATACTAGGAATTCTGAAGATTTTGTAAAGCAGTTTTATTTAACAATACTTTATTGTGTTCTCGTGATAACAATAAAAAGTATAAAGCCAAAAATAAGAAATATGTAACTGAAAAATTTCTTAAATGATGTGCTGAATCTGACAATACAATAGTTAGAGAACATTAGCCATAAATCTAAGTTGTCATTAGTTTAAAAAACTTTGGCTTGTTAGTAACAGATTTCTAGTGTTAGAAACGTGAAATAATAGAGTAATTTTAAGTATTATCTACTTCTGCTTAAAGCAGTGTATTGGTACTGAATGTTGCATTTTAGATTCTCAGGTAAGTATTTTGGGTTTTCTTTTAAGGTCTTAATTAAAGGTGTTATTCAGTTGCAGATTTATTGGTTTAATTGAATATGATAATGCATACAAAGGATATTTACCTAAGGTTCTGAAACACTCCATAAAAAATTTGCATCTTGTTGGATCACATTTTCCAGATTGTAAAAGAATAATACAGAAAATGGTGCTAACAAGGCACCACAAAAAATAAACTGATCTTCAAAATTAAGATGTTTTTTATATCTGGTCAATTAAAACACAATAACACGCCGAATAAATACTAATTCAAAAGTTAAACAACAAAAATCAGGGTTATATTTACAAATTTTCACAGGACTAGTTTCGATGGTTTTACCGAACCACCATCCTCAGCTGCAAAACCGCAAATGAACAAGATAGGAAAAAATGATTAGATAAGATAAGAAAGCCTGGACAAGAATAAAGAAGTGGCGCCATCTGTTGGTGAAACCAGAACTAAAACATAATTTCTTTAAAGGCCGAAGGCAAATTTGGATTGGAATTAGGATCGTTAACTAGAACAGAAAAATTTTTATGAATGTGAAATGCCTCTAGAAAATCCAGTTCTCCAATGGAAGATGTTTTTTGAATAATTTTGGCAGCAGAAAAATTGAAAGTGTGATTTTCGAACCAACAATGTTGCGCAACAGAAGACTTCTGTGTTTACTTTTTTCTAACATATGCCTCATGTTCCTTGACGCGAAATTTTAAGGCTCTCTTAGTTTGGCCAATGTAAATTAAACCACACTGGCAAGGAATCCTATAAATACCCCAGGAATTCATATCCGGAATGGGGTCCTTGAGTATGGAACTCGGAATTTTATTGATGGGAGAATAAACAACCCGAAAGTTAAATTTCTGCAAAATATGTGCAACTTTATAGCTAATTGATGGAAAGAAGGGAATGACAACAGAATTTTTATAATCTCCTAAAACAAGAGTCAATTATTGGATATATTTTAATGAAATTTGGTTTGAACATAGGTTGATATAATGTAAAATGATGCCATAAAACAGTCATGGTACACACACATATCATAGAGAAGGCTGACGCTGGGCTCTGTAAGATCTGATGCAGAAGTTATAAGGTAGAGCATAAGAAGGAGGTTAATAAAGTGTGAAAATCGCTTTTACTGTGATGCAGCTCTCAGAGCGTGACTTCTTGCTAGAAGCTAGGCAATTTATGAATCCATGTGGCAATCAGGCTTACTCCTGCGACGACGCTGTTTTGAGGTCCTGGAGGACACCAAAAGGCAGAAACCGTGTTGAGATTAGCCGTTCCAGGAGCGAATCAGATATGTTCCGCAGATTCTAAATCTAGAGATCTAGCTGCCAATCCATTTATACCTTCGCTTTCCAAAAATGTATCCACCAAATTAGCTGTATGTAGAAGATCATTGTCATACATAAAAATAAACTAAGGGCCAACTGTACCCTTGAGAAAGTCATCACAGTGTTTAGTATTTCTTCCCTATACTTCGTAACACTACGTAGACCATCCTATATCCTGATAATCAAACCTTGACATCTTCATACCTTTCTTAGATGATAAGGAATAGGTAGAGGGTTTCTTATTCTTTCAAATGAAGGTACGTTGATAATCAGTAATTAAGCCTAATCGGGACTCATTTGAGACGAAAACGGTTCTTCACTAATGCTTGGTCCAAAGTCGATGTTTTCTGCCCAGTGCTAAACGGGCTGTCTTGTGCACAGAGGAAATAGGCATAAAAACGGCTAGTTCGTTTTGCGAATGACCTACATCTTAGAGCGCTATGTTCGCCTATTCAAGGGTGAAGCGGGATTTCAATTTTTTTATGAATTACAAAGTTTGTTTACATAGGGTTAATGTGATAGATGAATTTCTGGAAAATGAGGATATTAACGAGATGAATTTTCTAGCCAAATCTCCATACTTAAGCACAACAGAAGTCTTAGGTACTCTTCCGAAGGCAGTTGCATCTTTCCTTTTTTTGAAACCTGCAGAACCTGAAAATGGCATCGCTGCAACAGTGGAACCAACTGCACCAGAAACTGGTAAACTGCCTCACTTCCAGTATGAAGTCATACTATGAAAGCAATGTGATTGACTGTTTGGCCCATGCTATGGCCTGATGGCTGAACTTGTTTCGGCCAAGGTTTCACCCATTGCAACCCCAGCTATCAAAGCTGCATATTACATGAAAACATACCATCTATTATCTCCTTTTCTGTTTAATTTGCAGCTTAATTTTTAGATCTTCCTTCGACCCTTTTTCTGCTCAAGCATATGCCTTTAGCATTGTTATAAACTGCGTTGCAGAGTGAAAGAGGTGTAATACTTCTTTGGCGAAATGAAGCAACTCCAATGATGGAACACAGCAATAACTTTTATTTAACACTCAAAAAAATGGCGACATACAAACATGAAGAGAAAACATATTCTATCATTTAAAAATAAATTACATTCTTCGTGCGAGAGTCGCACGAGGCACTCGAGTCTGGTTTCAAATATTGCCATTCACAAATACCTTAATGTTCATCTATTTAAATTATTTAAACTACAAGATTTTAATATTATTTAAATCTGTTACAACCTCTCCCCCAACGGAGAGACTTTTGCCAAAGGGAAAAGTTCTGTAAATTTCGAAAGTTTATAAGCTCGGCTTGCTCAATTGCTTAAAGAGAAAAGATAACTTTTCTCATAAGTTTCCAAATTTTCAGGCCGAAAATTTTAAGTTTTAAACAAATATTTTTACACCACATTTAAATAGGAAGAAAATGGACAGTGTTGAAATTAGTCTTCTTTTTTTTTTCTGACGGCGCCTAGATCTCTTCCATGGCGGACCAGTTCCTCGGCTATATTTCACAGCAAAGCCTTTCTTCAGTTCATCTGTGCCTTTTGGATAATATTCATTTGTCATTTGCTTTCAACATTTGTTTTCTTCGTCTATTAGTAGCGGCATTGATATTAAATCGAAAGCCGAAAGATGATGATAACGTTGCATTGCAAAATGATTCTCAATATTAATTTCTTTATCGTTTTTTTTTTTCAAATTTTCGTAAAAATCTTCCACTTTTAATTCCTGTGATTTAACTTCTTCTTCAAAGATATCTTTGGATGCTTTATTTTCTTCCTTCATCGGTTCCAAGATCTTCTCTTCTCTTCAATTATTTTTCTTTCCTTTGAGCTCTAGTAGAAACGGCATTAAAATGGTATCACTAAGATTACCTTCAAGTGATAAACTAATAAAATAAGGCAGTTCAGTGTTAACAGGAAGTAATAACCTGATATCACTAATATTACGTTCAGTGATGAACTAATAAAATAAGACAATTCAATATCAACAGGAAGTTACGTTCAGTGATGAACTAATAAAATAAGGCAATTCAATATCAACAGGAAGTAATAATCTGGTATCACTAATATTGCGTTCAGTGATGAACTAATGAAATAAAGCAATTCAATATTAACAGAAAGTAATATTCTGGTATCGCTAATATTGCGTTCAGTGATGAACTAATAAAATAAAGCAACTCAATATTAACAGAAAGTAATATTCTGGTATCGCTAATATTGCGTTCAGTGATGAACTAATAAAATAAAGCAATTCAATATTAACAGGAAGTAATAATCTGGTATCACTAATATTATGTTCAGTGATGAACTAATAAAATAAAAATACGCACGATTATTCGATCTTGGTCGGTGCCTCCAAAATAATTAAGACTGTAATACTTCTTTGGCGAAATGAAGCAACTCCAATGATGGAACACAGCAATAACTTTTATTTAACACTCAAAAAAATGGCGACATACAAACATGAAGAGAAAACATATTCTATCATTTAAAAATAAATTACATTCTTCGTGCGAGAGTCGCACGAGGCACTCGAGTCTGGTTTCAAATATTGCCATTCACAAATACCTTAATGTTCATCGATTTAAATTACTTAAACTACAAGATTTTAATATTATTTAAATCTGTTACAGAGGTTTAATTTTTATACGCAGGTTCATCCAAGGTAATTCTCAACAGCACTAATTTATTATAAGATTATTGTTTCCAGTTTAGTAAAGGAGTAGAACATTTGAGTAAGATGTTCATGTGATAAAATTTACACTTCAGTACCAAACGAAATTTTAATAGTTGTAGTTTTACATTTACCTTCAATTAACTGAGGAGTATAGTGGAACTTCTTGGTCATTTGCCGGATGACTATTGGCCAGCAACCTTTTCTGTACAAATAGCATAAATATTATATTTTTTTACTGACAAAAGTTTAAAACAATTAAACTAAACCTTATAAGTTTTTCGATTATATAAGTCTTTAAACAAAGGTGGTATAAGATTGACTGGAAGCTAGAGAGGCTAAGATAACTCTCATTTCAAAGCTTGAAGAGATTGAATTTTAAAATTGAAAGTTGCATATTACTGGATAGCCACTGCTCTTTAGGAGCTATTTGCTCAAGAGAGGCTATGATTAAAGTATTAGTTTATCATTAAGAAATTTACGTTGTAATTAATCTTTAAGAAGTTATAAAGCAATACTTTTAATTTGCAACATTATAACAGATAATTTTTATGCATGAATACTGTAAAACAGTCAAGCATCAGTACTATAGAAGAATACTGACGAAGAATAACTCCATAAATGGGGGCATATATTGGTATAACTTCTGTAAGTTGCTTTTACTGACTATTATTAAAGTGAAAAATTAAAGCAAAAATTAAAAAACTTATTAATGCTTTAGAAATGTCAAAGATGTTTGCAATATATATATATATATACAGTGGTGGCCATAATTGTGGACACTTTTGGAAATTTTTATGTTTTTGAACTTTTTATGCTTATAGAAAACGTTACGTTTCACAAAATGCAAACGTGTATACATCATTTTAAAAAGAATTTATTACTGAATTCAATACAAACACAAAATTCAATTATTTGCAATACAAAAAATGTTAAACGATAACAGTTATCGATATACATTAGATAGTGATGATTGCAGTGCGTTATCAGTACTTAGTAGGGTACCCTTTATTTTTGATTACTAACTTCACTTCACATCGACGTTTCATTGAGCTGACAAGAGTTTTTAAGCTCTTCTTCTTTTGTTATTACATGATGCTAGTAAACAATTATAGCCTCAATTAGTTCCCTTTTATTTGATGGGCGCCTCATTCGGACAAGAGTTTTCAAACGGTGCCACAAATTTTCGATAGGATTGAGGTCAGGACTGTTTCCTGGCCATGACAACAATTTAATGCTCTTTGTACGAAACCACTCTTTCGATATTTTGGCCGTGTGGCAAGGAGCAGAATCCTGCTGAAAATAAACAAAGCATTGTTGGGAAAGAGATCTCTGATGGAAGGTAGAAGTTTTGGTTCTAGAATAGTGTCAATGTATTTTCTGGCATTCAGTGTCCCATCTATGACATGATGGCGACCAATACCATCTGCTGACATGCGTGACCAAATCATAATACTAACTGTGTTCTTCACAGTTGCTTGAATGCAGTCAGGATGTAGCTCTTCTCCTATTCTACGTCTTACATATTTTCGCTCATCCTTACCGAATAACGATATCTTAGTTTCATCATCATCACTCCATATAACTTGTGACCACTGATCACCTGTCCAATATGTGTTTCCTTTGCCCACTGTAGTGTGTTTTCCTTTTTCCCACTTAGTTTTTTTTTTCGTAGCTGAAAATTAAGATAAGGAGGCTTTTTTTTTTTTCGTAGAATTCTGCCTCTCAGTCCAACATCTGTTAATCTTTTCCTGATTGTTCTTGCACTGACTGAAACACCAGCATCATTCAGATCACTTTTGATGGCCGCTGATGACATTTTTCTATTCTATCTTGGAGACATAGTCTTTTTATTCTTCTGTCATCAATAGATGTGGTGCACCTTTTTCGGTCTTTTCCTTCTTTTGTTTTTTTTTTTGAATTTATCTCCTGATATCGTAAACAAAACTTACTTTCGACTCCAGATGTAATCACTGAAACCACCACCCACCTGTCTTGCTTGCAATTTCAGCATAGGAAAGACCACTTTCTCGTAACACACATAATATTACATCTCTTTCTAGTGTGCAATCTAAACGTAGCATTTTCTATAAGCCTACGAAGTTCAAAAACATAAAAATTTCCAAAAGTGTCCACAATTTTGGCCACCACTGTATATATATATTATATATAAATTAAGGTCAGTGTTGCCTTTCAGGAAAAAAAAGTATTTTTCATAACAAATTCAGTTTAAATAAATAGTTGATCCACACGTTTTAAAATAAAGGGTTTGAGAATACTTATTTCTTAATAAAAATTTTATTTTTTAAATAAGAAAAAGATACAATCAGATTTACTCTTGAAACTCAGCGACCAGAAATTGCTTCATCTGATTCTAAGTATTGTAACTGCGTAATATGCATAAATCTTGTGTATTTTTATATCATACCTGCCTCATGAATTTAAGTAAATAATTTGAATAGGTGAATGCGATTTTCATAATAATTTTGCATTGTATCTTATTATTCTAGAGTACTTTTCAGAAAATCGGTTGCAAACTTTCAGGAGAATGATAATGGTGGTGCAATACATGGTCAAAAATACATTCCTGGCGCGGTTGTAACAACACAAAACACAAGAAAGAAAGAACATGAACAGGGTGAGGAAGCATGTTTATTATGCTTAGTACAGCAGAAATGTAGAAATAAGAACAAAAATGGACAATGATCGTCATCAAAGAAGGTGTTCGAAATTACGACCCCGGACCCTGATGCAGGTCCCCCATCTCCGGCACATCGAAGATCTAATGTTCTGAAAAAATACTGACTTGTCCCGGACTTCCTCAGCAATTCCAAAATGCATGCAGAAAGCTCCTCAGCACTTCTAACTGGGTTTTCGTACCCCCAAAGGAAGTAGTCAATGCAGATGAGGTCTGGCGATCTTGCTGGTCTTTGCAACGGACCATCCTACCGATCTTATGTTGAAGATTCGTTTCGAACAACTTTGATGACGATTATTTGTTTTTGTTCTTGATTTCCACTACACTAAGCATAATAAACATGTTCGTGTCCTTCCTTACTTGTGCTTTGCGTTGTCACTACCGCGTCAAGAAAGGGTTTCCGACCATGCATTGCTGTGTATTTTCCCATCTTCTAGGTGCACTCTCCTGTTCTGAAAGTTTGTAACCTATTTGCTGAAAAACCCTGCATATTAAGCTGAATCATAAGAAAGGCTATAGTACTCAGATCTTCAAGGTGATTGGTCAGTGAGAAAACTTTACTCTCTCTGCGTCTGTAAATTTTAGCTCCAAGAATGTAAGTAAATTAGACAGCTAGGGATCTTAAAATATTTACAGATGTTTTTAAAATATAGATGTATTTTTAAGAATGATTTATCACAATTTTTTAATTTTCTATTAATTTCCTAGGAAAAATAAATACAAAAGATATAATGAAATAAATCATTTTTATTTGTGTGTGTTTTTGAAAATAACCTACAAAGGAAATTCAGGCGTTAAACACAATGTTTGAAATATTCAAAGTACAAAGAGATATATATGAAAGTAGTAAACGTATTAGTATATCTAGTTAGTAAAGTAAGAAGAGGTTTTAATATATTTTATTTCAAATAGGATCAGACAGGAATTGCTTATGACAAAATCCATATCATCACACATAGCCTTGGTGCTCAAGTTGCTGGTGCAATCGGAAAACATTTCAAATTTTACAGAATTACAGGTAACTATACTGCTCATTTTGCGCTATCTTCAGGAAGAAACGGGTATAGAAACATTCTCTTCCAGCATCACCTATGAAATACCTAAAATGGTAATTCTGGGCTAACACAGCTTTTGTTGTATATAGAAAACATACACAATTAAAATTTACAATAAAGAAAGCTTAAATTCATTTTTCTGTCGCGACGGAGCGAGAAGGCTCAGCGTCCGTTTTTCCCCAACGAATTTCGATATGTGTCCCTTTCTGATAGGGACATATCTAAACTGTCCCTTTCTGATAGGGATTCTTTCTTTCCGTCGGGGAGTGTCTGGTCTCTTTGCCGGAAGTTGGGAGAGAGGTTCCTCTTGTAGAGTTGCCACAATGTTATCACCAAATAAGTGCATTGAAAAGAAATTTCAAGCTTGCTAGTCCAACGCGAGGAAGTTCTTGTCACCACCCTTCTTGACCAAAGGAGTCGTTACATTTTAAATGAAATCTAAGAGACGTATCTTAAGAGAACATTTTAGTGAGTTAGACTTCAGTTTTAATGTTCTTTGTGCCAATTCAAATATGGCCTTCTCTCTGAAAGGCCAGGGATTTCGCTAAAAAAGCATAAATTTCCCAAAACTATTATGAGAACATATTATTTTTTTGATTTTAATATAAAAATACTGTTCGTATTTCCCACTTGGATTTGTGTGCTTTTGATATAATGCCTTAATTGTTTTGACATATTTTAATATACACGTATATATATGCTCGTACAGATATTACAAAAAATATTCTAGGCCGTATATATACGGCGTTGCCGCTTAGAGGGTTAACATGCAGTCCAAACATCTAGTCAATCGACAGAAATACGGATTTTGAGTGTTTTTGCATAGAAATCTCTTTCACGCATTCTAATATTCAATAAGGTCCACCATGTGCGTTGTCAAAACGCAGCACACTCGAGAGTAATAAATAACTCTATCGTCCTTCTCTTTTTATTAAATCAGGAAGCATAATTTTGATAGTGTTTTGACCAATTAATGTGCTATACTGGATGATGAGATGCTATGTATGTCTTTAAGCTCTTTCGACTGACTAAAAAGAATATTTTAATGAATTGGCTTTGTATACATTTGAAGGAGAGTGTTCATGCTTTATTTTTCCAGTTGTTATTTTTTAGAATCATTTAAAATATTTTCATCTTGAAATCTTATTAACTGACAATGAATTTCAGGCATTTTCAGGCAATTTCAGGCGTTTTAATTTTAATGCTCTATTGTCTAATTGTCTAACACATTCCAAATTTGCATGCGCAAAGGAAAACCTTTTAAATACAGATTTGAAAATGCATTTCAAGTGTAGCATTTTAGTTTAATTGATGCAAAAATGTCCAATAAAACAAGAGATTTCATTTGCCTCCTCTTCACTATCATGCACGTTTTGAGCGTTATTTCTTAAGACTTTTATATATACATGCAAACACACTCCCACTACACACATTAATTTATAAAATATAGTAAAGTCCCACTAACTCGACTTCCGATATTTTAACATTCTGTATAACAACATTCTGCATATTCCGTTTAACATTCCGTATATTTTCTCTTAAATACAAATCGCTAAATTATTTCTGCTGGTCAGTCAGAACTTTATCGTTGGCTAACTAGATGATCTATTAATAACTGATCTGTAATAATTTCTATCCATGGCCACCGTCCAATCTTCTATGTAGTGGAAGCAGTCTAGATTCATTTTAATTACAGCATTATTGTAAAGACGAAGACGATGCCTATTTATGCGTACAAGTGTCAGCATGTTTTCCTGTTCTGTTCAAAGTTTAGTTACGGCATTAATTTTTGCAATTCCTTTCGTTGCTGAGATAGTTTCCACTTGTGATGAGTCTAGCTTTTTTAAAATTTTTTCTCCAATGGCAGGCACTTGCCTATGCCGGCATCGGCCACTCCGTAGGCCAGTTGTGGTGGTCACTTTATTATGGAGGCTCCCCAATAGGTGGGTCACTTTTGTCTTCTACGAAGGTACAGACAATGTTACACCCGTGCCTCCTCCGAGATTCGAACCCGGGCCCTTCGGTATCACAATCAGGCTTCCCTAACCACTATACCGTCTGAGCGACGTGATGAGTCTAGCTTGAATTTTAGACGCTTGAATTTACTATTCTGGAAAATCTTAATATAATAACTTCAGATGTATTTCTTCAACGTATGCAATATATCCAAATAACTCTGTATATTGTACAAATGTAAACTTTGAAATTTGACTTTGACAATTAATGTCCGTGGCCCCGACCTAAGATTGTGGCCAGTAAAAAGAAGATGGCTTTACCTCTGAGCAACATATTCCGTTTGTTGTCTTTAGGCTAACTTAGATCGGAAGTTGCTCAGCACGTCAGTGTTGTAGTTATTCCTGAGACTTTCTCATTAAGATGGAATAATTTAAAGTATTCATGTAAATTGCAGACATCGTGAGCACCCTTAACTTAACTGTATCAGTCATGTGCATCTATAAATATAAATATAAATACTGTGTTATAAACGAAATGAGAGTTTTTATGATATAGAGTGCGAGTAAAATCTACACACAAATGACAGAAGGATGGCCCTGAATTGGTTTTTTAAGAAATCTATTTTTACCTTGTTGTAATTTTGTATTTTTATTGGTGTTTCTCTTCAAATGAAAAATGGGAAAGTTAAAGGCTTGATTTTGTCTGATTTCTTTCCTTATAAATAAATAATATTTAATGAACTTTGTATTAATTATTTGCAGGGCTAGATCCAGCTGCACCTTCATATGCAGACGAAAGCCTTTCAATAGACAGAAGATTGGATCCAACTGATGCGGAAATTGTGGAAGTCGTTCACTGCGATGCTGAACCGTGTACCAAACTGTAAGTTTATCACAAACAAATAGAAGTTCTTATTTAACTGGATTAATGTAAATAACAGCTTAGTTTAGATACAGAGTATCTAGCATCAGGAGTACGAAAATCAGTGAGTACTTACATTGACTACAGAACTAAGGAGTAAGTGCCAGAGAAATAAGTAACTCGGCGCTAAGTATGTACATTGACTCCTACAGTGATTTACATAGTAACTGACTTACACAGTACACTGACAATCTTAAAATTAGAAATTAAAGCTAATGACCTGAAACATAAAAGGCTTACATCTTTTTTACACGAAACGTGGTTAGCACTAAATATTGTTACGTGGGTACGGGTTCGTAATAGACTGAATGCACACGGGTCAAAATAAAATGAATTTTTATCAAAAGAAGTATTTCAGAGCTGTGGAATTTTCCATAGTATCACACTACGATCAGTAGTTAAATTTCAAACTATCAAGAACGTTAAATACAACGCAATGCAAAACGCATCTAAACAGAAAGCTAATTCAATCTACATAAACTAAACAACAGCAACTAAACAACTAAGTTCAACAACAACTAAGCAACTAAGAGAAGATGCTCTCTTTTCGGCCTTATATAGTTTTTTAAACCGACCGAAGAGATATTTCTAGTACTTTCTGCTTCTCAAAATTACTAGAAAACAATACGAAGGTGGAATTACGGTTACAGCTAACATAGTGGTCAGGTACCTTTATTCAATTTCAATACATATTACAGTGATACAGGGAGTGGATTAAATATCGCTAAATGGTCATCAAGTTTGGTAATTTTTGGCGGTATCTCGACAAATTTGAGGATAAAATAAGTCGTCAAAAACATCCAGCTTGTCAGCTTGGCGATATCTCGCCATATTACTGAGATACCCATTTACTCGATGTTAAACGTACTTACCCTATATTCTTACTTTTACGGCATAGCTTCTCCCTTAAGATTTTTCGCATTACATTACACAGAAAAATACAACAATTTCACATGTAACTGCACTAAAGTCATCTATCTATAAACAAAATTATATATCCCCTTACTGTATTATTGTTTCGAATTCCCATTCGAACCCCTCCATACAATAAGACTCAGGTACTTTTAAAGTATAATTCTCAATGATTTTCTTGAAAATATTCTTTAGTTTATGGTCAGCACATTTCTTTAATCTAAATTTCTGCTTAAAATTACGCATGATATCCTTCTAGGAGAAACGAATGTTATCAGCATCTAAATTGTTTATAAAAATATGTACGAATCTGGTAATCTACGGCAAAATATCTTTCATACACTCAAAAAGAAGTTTACAAAATTTTCGCTGTGTATTTCTATAGGCAATAACACAAACGTTATATGTTTTCTCATGTACAATTATTATTCAAAATTCCTTCATAGTTTGCGTATTGAGTTCAATCTTATCACCCGTCTGTTACTTAATTGATTTTAATTTTTGCAGTGGCAATAACATACGATGCCGGAGACTACAATTTTTATATGAATGATGGACGCAGGCAGTATAGTTGTTATCCTTATCTATTGGAATCCATTATAAAAGGAGATTTCAAATATGGTGAGTTAATTCTTTTATAAAATTATGTAAATATTTCAAACTTATTTTTACACACACATATCTGCGTGTTACATTGCATGCAGAAAACTGCTCATTTAAAGAAGTATTTGGCTATAAGAAATAGCTCGCTCGCTATCGCATTCGTAAAGCCGGAATTCATGAAGAAATGCATAACTATTTATCATAATTTTGTTTACAAGTTGAATGACGTGCTACCAAGTGATCGTTTAGGATTAGATAAAGAATTTATGTAATATCATAATTATATTAACAGCCTCAATTATACATAAAAACCATGTTAAAAAGCAATTTTGTTTTCTGCGTGCATGTATACAAGTCATGCTTCTGTCGTATAGGATTATCAGAGTGCGCTTGTGCACTAGATGTCAGTGGAAACTGAGATAATTTGTAAGAGCTCTTTTTGACAAAACTTGGATGCGTTCAGAACATATCTGTTGATCTTGGTGAAATTCCGCATGAAAATACCCTTGGGCATGATGTGAACGATATGTGCACGATTTAATACTATTAAGGTAATTCAAATACGTATGTGATTCATTCACCTAAGAGTAGCAAAAAATAAATAATAAGATAATTATCTTGCATAGATGCAAACATTTATTGCTCTAGAGTTGTTTATGCAAAAGTTATCACTTCATGCTCTTTGCATAAAGTTTCGTTTTTCAGTTTTTTCATATTGCAAATTTTGGCAATCTTCCCATTCGAAGTTTACCCCACGATTTCATTTTTAGAATGTAAAATCATCGATGGATCTGAAGTTTCACCAAGTTAGACATCTAGCGACTTTAAACTTATATCTCTCTATGTATAAGTTGTTGTAACACTTTCTCAACATAAAAAAATGCCACAAAAGGTCTTATATAAGAGGGGGACTGAAAAGAGGCTTTTTCATCTGCATAAAATTAAAACAGACATTCAATTCTAGTCTCTATCGCATACTTTGCTGAAGACATGCTTTCGTACAAGTACAAACACGATTGTTGTGTCATTGATATCAAAATACTACACAGAACTTGATTGAATTGTAATACATGATGCATGCAACTTTATTCCTCTAATTAATTCGTCAAAAGTAAAGACTTGCTATGGTAAACTGTGGTTGCATAAGCACCTACGGATTGTAAGGATGAGGACTTGGATAGAGGATACGAGTATAATTCATGGAAATTAAAGAGATGGATGGCCATGTTGTTATAGATAAAGTAATATGGTGCCAAACGTTTATATGTTGAGATGAATAAATGAAATGGAATTACCCATGTATAGTACCAAAACACGCTCAATACAAATTTTAACTGTGAAAAACTAGTTTTACTTCAATTCTAGAACTGCGGCAGAAATATTGACATTACAAGAAATCTTAATTTCGGTCACAATGGCTTTCGCGAATTTATCCCCGAGCAACACACATAAAGTCAAAATGAGAAACTTGATTACATCACTAAATACGCACCTAATGTTTCGATGCTATGTTAGCAAGAGAATTTAGAACATGATGAGAGAGCGAAAATTATCTAGCTATTCATTCTCTTGTAGCTATGAAGGATATGGTCACCTGTAGTAGCACGAGGAAATATCCGCCGACATGGCTTGACAGCATGGCCCCTGTAAGAAAACTCTTGATCGGGAGACAAAACATGCGCTAATTAATATCGTCTGGCTTCGTATCAGTAGACCATAGGAGTAAATTAAGAAGAGAAATAACTGTGTATTCTAACAGTATTATCGTGTCTTACCACAGGCACGAAAGAAGAATTTCATGACGAAGCAAGAAGAGGAAAATTACCGACTTGTCTTTGCAGATCTCATTCTCTCTTCCGCAGAACACAATATAAGGTGAAGCGAGGGAGTGACTTTCAACCCGATCTATTTATAGTTTCTGTTGCAAACGTCCGTTGCCTCTGTCGAAAAGGAATTCGGATTGAAAAAAGGTGAGAACTTGCCATCACACATGTCATTGGAATTTGAGACCAAATTTTTTTCTACGTATTATGAGGCGTTGATCATACGACAATCAAGAATACAGTCACATTAAAGCAGGTATGACATAATCTAATTGGGCACCTGCGTTAAACTTCTCGGATAAAAGGTAGGCAGGATATACAATTAAAACAGATGTAAGAGCAACACAGACCATGTTACCATCTTCTTACTTTCTGTAGTAAAATTGTTCAGCAACAATTTGTGAAATATCTGTACGATCGTTGTTCAACCACATTCAAAAGAAAACTGCTTTCTATAAAGACATACCGGAAAGCATGGAGCATTACGCTACCATTCATGATTTAATTTACACATTATTGTTTGATCTGAATAAAATGAAGTAGTTCTTAGTTTACCGAAGGGTAATACGAGTAGATCCTTTACTCAACCTGTTTGCTAACGCAGAAATAATTCTTACTTTTTAAATAAGATGCACCGTTGAACTATATGTGAGACAAATGGCCAAAAGGTATTAGTTAGCATGGTTCGCTGAGTCAAGGAGTATAAACTTTCTGTTTCAAGACCAGAAACAAAAGGAATGCTCACTAGCCCAAAATACAGTCTTGGGCACACGCCACGCATAAATCTGCGTAGAAAGTATATAGAAATCCAAAGAAATTTTTATAACATGCCTATGAAAATAGACGGCGGAGCATTACGGCTGCCTCACGTCAGAGATATCAAAGAAAAGGTTAATAAACTGTCTAACGATATGGAGAGCACTGGTAGTTAGGGGCGTTTCTTCACCCAGATGCCCAAAGCCTGCTGTGCCACTGTTACCACCGTAGCACTTTATGATGTCCATTAATGTCACGAATAAAATACAACTGACACTGAGTTCCGCATAAAAATCATTCCTGTTAGACATTTCCAGAACGTTTAGAAACTGCACAACAAACACCTAAAATGTATTGCCAAAGTTTTCCCTCTGTCCTTGAACTTACAAAGAAATTCTTACAAAGGACGATCACCATGGGATGAAGCCGGATAAAGATTCTTAAACTCCGTCCGCATGGTGTTATGAATTTTGGCTCTATTACAAATTCATTAAAATATGAATATTTCAAGCGTTTCTGAGATTTTCATCACCTTTTTTCTTGCGTACACGATTTTCAGCAAGAATTATTAAACATTTTATTTATATTTATAAGTATTTATTTATTCATTTTCCAGCTATTGCAAGTCTGCTTCCACAAATTTGTTCTCACCTCCAGTGCCTGCAGTATTTCAAAGTATCGATTAATCCCAAGGGTAATCAGTTTGTTGGAGTTGAATGCGATAATTACGAAGATTTCGTGAGTGGAAAATGCAGCAGCTGTGGGAGACAAGGCCAAAAATGTGCCATTATGGGACTTGATTTTGATAAATATTCACCTGGTGCTTTCAGAAATGACAAGAAAAAGAGATATTATGTGGATACAACTCTGACATGTCCATATATGGGTAATTAAAACTTTCAGAATTTGATATGATTTCTATTAAATTGATCTCTTAAATGCTTAAGACACTTAAGAGCTCTGTTTAATTAGCATGGCAGTATAGTCAACAAGCGTTGTCACAAGTTTATGTATTTATTTTTAAATATATTTTTTTCCATAGCAAACAGATTTGAAGAAAATGCGTATAATAAAGAATGCGCAAAATAAGAGTGTTCACATCTAAATAGTTAAGGCAAACTTGTGCACTTAAGACAATTATTTGGGACACAATCCAAGTTATTTTATGCTCATAATATTTATTATGTGAATACAAGAAAAGAATGCATCGAAAAATCAATTATGATATTCATAACAGCGACTTCTCTTTGGAGTCGAAAGTAAAAAATGTCATCTAGAGATATGTTTCTTCGGATAACTACAAAGGAGCATCATTAGTTGCAGCTTTTTCAACAGAGTTATACTTTCTTAAAATTAAAATTAATGATTGCTGAGATGATTTGGATCTAAATTTGAGCCTGCATTTTTTTATCTAAATTAGCGACTGCAAGCTGTTGAAGTATTCATACCAACGAATAACATATCTGAGTTGTTAATGTAAGTATCTTACATTGTTAAAGTTATTATTACCTACTCTTCCGAAAAAAAGGGGGGGGCGTCTGTAACTAAATTTTCAATTTGTGCAAGAGCACAAATTTTAAAGCTTTAAAAATTCTGTTTAACTTTGTAGCAATATTTGTGGATGCCTCAAATAATAAGGAAAGAGTTATTTTCGCTAGTTTTATTTTCGTTTATCTTTTTATTACAATATTAATATGAAACTCATACGCCTTTCTGTCTCTTCTTAGAGAAAAATCCTGAAATAAATTTTTGATTACCTTAAGAATTAGAGAAATAATTTAGAAAGTAAAGTTATAACCGTTTAAGGTTAAGGTGGCGCCTGTTTTAGGAAATTTTGCCATTATGCAGAATTGGCATTTGTGGTGCTTGATGAGCGAAACAAGCAAATAGTTGCCAGCTAGTGAAAGAATTAAAAAAATATTATTCTGCGTATAAGTTTAGTTTTTTCGTCCATAGACATATGTAATCGTATGGTTATAGTTGATGCATAATCAGGCAGCAGTACTTCATAATGCTACGCCAATTATTGAAGGAGATGAAATTATTATAGGGTTTGTCATTTTCAAAGTAAGCGATTAAAATCAGAAAATGCTTTTCTGATTTTATTGTTTCAAATCAAATTATCTTTTCTGGTTTCTGACCTGAAATGTTTTCAAGTCAAATTAAAAGAAACATAGATATTCGATATTTTAGATATTCGATATTGGAGCTAATACCAATAGCACGGTTTCTGCTCAGTTTCTAAGGAAAGTGCCGAAAAACGACGGGTTTCACTGAGGGAAAATGATAAGTAAAATGGAATCAACATAATCCTCCGACGACTGGCAAAAGGTTCATGACACCACTTATCACGTAAGCTGATGCTCTTGTTAATTTTAAAGATTAACCAATTGTAGTAAAGTAAATTCTGGTCCTTGCCTTTCCAACCCACCTGCAGTGAAGGGTTTGTTTACCTGTATGTTCCGTTTGGTTGTTTTTATGGCGAAGTTTCTTGCGAGTTGTGATATTTAAGTTCGTGAATTATGTCGCCTCAGAATAGTAGTCTAAAATTACCAACATAATTTCTTTGCAATAAAGCATCTAAATTATCTGTGAATCATGAATTTGCATTAGCAAAAACGTGTTGTCAATTGTACGTAGTTGTAAAAAATAAGGCATGTATTTTCTCAAAGACTAATTCAAAATTCGAGATCAAATTAAGTTTAAAATTTCTGAAGAAATCGAAAGAAATATTAAATTTCTTCATAAAAGAAATGAAATGGATGCTATAAAAGCCAAATGCTATAAATTAATTAAATTGAAGATAGCCTTCCAATTTCGGTTTCGGAACTTCCGAAGCCCTTTTTAAGAGCATAACAAAATTTACCTTATTCAGATACAACATGTGAAAAGGTTGTCTTTGCTATTAAAGATTAGAATTGTATTTATTTACGTACGAAAACTCTTGAATCCTTTCTTATTGAAAAAAGTAAATATGCAAGCAAACTGAGAACCGTGTTGTAGAAAAAAGTTATCTAATTCGGAAGTTAAACTTGCGATGTATGCTACTTATCATACATTCGTAATTTCTAGTTTGTGGTGTAATTTTTTTATTAATTTATCAGAAGGATGTTTGATGGTTCTTATACTCAATAAACTCACTAAATGATAGTTACATCATTGTTTAATGACATTAAATTAAATAATCTAATAAAATGCATGAATCATAAATATCTTAAGCATCTTTCTGACATTCAAACGAAATATCTCGCCATTTTAGTGTATTATATTCCTTGATTAGACTTCAAAGTGATAATCTACATTTGCATTATAGATAATTGCAGGAAGGCTTCGATTCCCATTTTGAGATTTGAAATGCGTTGTTATTCCATATCAAGAATTGCATATTTCCTTAACGTACTCTCATTAATCGGAATGCCATAAATCGTTTGCTCATTCCAGTTTAAAAAAATCTGATGTGTACACCACATGACTTCCTTGTACGGAATATTGAATTATACGCATTTTTTCTTGCATTTCATTTAAACTTATTGGATTGAATTAAATCTACTCGCATAAACCACAATGAAATAAATGCATTCTTTAAAATTCACTCTAGTATTTGCTTACCATAGCGACACTCTGGCGCTAGATTCACTTAACAGTATTATATTTCGTTCATATTATAACTCAAATTGCACAAAATTTTTATCATTTAAAGAATTTAATCGTTGCCACATGTTCTATTCAAATACTATAATAAAGCTAGAATGATGTATAAAAGAAATTAAGCAATCAAAACAAAAAAGAAACAGTTTTTCACAGACGATTGAGTATTTCTCATTCAATTAATTCTCACTTTGCGAGAAGGCAAAAATACATAAAAATTCAGAATATCTGTAATACAAATTACGAAGTAAATCTTAAACGCTTATTTCCTCGAAAAAATTCCAGAAAGGATTAAGCATGATTTAAATAATAAATGAAGGCGTTATCTTTGTTGTTGCGAAGCTAAGTTTCTCTAGATTGGCAACAAATCCACTAGTCTGCTGTTTTAAATGTAAACAAGAGCAATGTCCGCCATCAAAAAGGCTTAGCGGCACTTAAACAATTTTAAAATTGTTGATAATTCTAAAAATATTGTATACAGATTTACTAAAGGCATAAAACCCTTAACCGGAAGATAAAAACAACATAATTCAATCATTTTTAAAGCAAAAAATGTACAATTTACTATGAAGTTTCACTAGAAAAAGCTGTTTCTTTTTCTAGTGCACGAGTAAGATTTAATAAAGCGCTTGTTTCAAAACCAACATAAATTTCAATACAGGTAAATAAACAGATAAACGACATCTAAAGAAATTGAATGGCATTGTGATAGTCCAAATATATCCAAATACATTTGAACTCGAAAAAGGGCAATTCGATACCAGTGATGAAAGAAAAAATCAAAAATGAGATGAATTCATCCTAAACTTTCTGGAATTTCCATCTTTAAATGTGCTGCAATAATTCGGACCTTTCAAGACAAGAAAACTTTATTTAATACTAAAAGCTCTTAATTCAAGCAAAATCTAAAATCTGTATTTAATAAAAAATTCATTTAAATTTAAGTGTACAATTTTTAAAAATACATCTGTATTTAGTAAGAAGATACATATGAAATTTAATAAATGAAGTATATAATTAGGACTTTTGAATATTTAAATTCATTTTATCAACATAATGTGACTAAACATGATTTCGATCTTCAAATATTTTACAAATGTCTACAGGTTGACAAATGTCTGTTTTACATGTGTTTTAAATTTTTATCAGAATATGTAATCCATCCGAAGTATAGAGTGGAAATTATTATTTCAACAGATAACCATTGATCTTAGAATACTAAATTTATTCTAAAAAATAAATAAAAATCAAAACCTTTTTATATATACAATTTATAAAATAATATAGCAGACAGTCACTAAAAGGCACCATGCAATTGATACTGATAACCTAGTTACCACTAAATTTCAACAATAGTGTTCCTATTTTTTTTTTAAATTAAATTCTTATATTCTATTGGTACTCCAGTAAATCGAATCTCTTTAATGTATAAATTAAATTAGTTGGAAGTTTTTAAGCAAGACTTCAGAAGATTTGAACTGAGAAAAAGACTCGAATATTCGAGTTTTCTAATCTCAAATATTTTTCCACATTCAAGGGCTCGAGCGTTGGAATGTCCCATATCTAGAAATTATATACTGAGCATTTACAGGGGTTGGACAAAAATATGGAAACACCTTTAAAAAAACATGTTTATTTGCTTAATATGGTGTAGGAAACCCGTTGGCATCCAAAACAGCTTGCAGTCTTCTCGGAATGGATAAATACAGTTCCTGTATGTTTGCCAAGGGAATATTATACAATTCTTCCTGCAAAACGGTGGCAAGTTCAGATAACGATGTTGGCGGTGAATAACGAGAACGCACTTTCGGTTCCAATGTAGACCACAAAGGTTCGATAATATTCAGGTCTGGTGACTGTGGTGGCCAGGGGAGATGGGACAACTCATCCTCGTGCTCAGAAAACCAGTCCTGGACAATATGAGCTGTGTGAACAGGGGCTTTGTCGTCTTGGAAGCCATCATCACTATCGGGGAACAAAGTTTGTACCATGGGATGAACTTGATCGGCCAAAATGTTCACATAAGTCTTGGCAGTCATGTGCCCTGACACAGTTATCATGGGGATAGCAGAGAACCACGATATGGCTGCCCAAACCATAACAGAAACCCCACCATGTTTCACTCTTGGCAACAAGCAGTCTGTATTATAGGCTTTAGATGGCGTTCTCCAGACGTAAACTCGGCCAGAAGTGGGAAACAATGTGCAAGAAGACTCGTCAGACCATATTACTTGCTTCCACTGCTCTATAGTCCAGGGTTTATGACTTAAACACCACCTTTTCCTGTTACAGGCATTAGCATCACTGATGAGTGGCTTCTCAATTGCAGCACGGCCAGTAATTCCCTGTTTATGAAGCTCCCTTCTAATTGTTTTGGTACTCACAGGGTTCGGTAACACAGCATTCATTTCAGCAGTAACTTTTGCAGCTGTGGTCTTCTTATTTTTCGTCACAATTGCTCTTAATGATCGTCTGTCACGATCACTCAGGACACACTTTCGTCCGCGCTGTGATTTAGCAGATGATGTTTTTCCGCTTTTCAAATATGCGGAATAAATCTTCGATACAGTACCTCTTGAACACTAAACACCTCGGCTACCTTGCTTACGGATGCCCCTATCATACGTGCTCCAACATTTTGCCCACGTTCGAAGTCTGTTAACTCTGACATAAAGCAATGACAACCTCACATAACAGTACTCCGACAACAACTGAACTGTTTAGCACATTTACGAAGTTGTATAGGTGCGTCAGTAGTCAAAAACACCAGCACCACCTACATATTTCATTAAAATCCATCTTTCTTTTCAAACATGCATTTCACAAGGTGTTTCCATATTTTTGTCCATCCACTGTATATACGCCTCACAGTACAGAAACGTAAAAGACTTACGAAATCGTATTAGAAAGAAAAGTCCTTTATATGTTTTATAAAGTACTTTCTCCTTTCTTTCCGCATGCCTTTGTGTTGTAGTTGGAAGCAAACTCGACCTCGACGTGTATCCAGAGGTCCAGGGTCCATGTATCGATCCCCAGCGAAGGCATTGCATGTTTGTCACTCCTCAGGCTTCAAAAATCCTAAAGACCCTACAAGTGGCCCCAGAATTAAAAGGTGGTGGACGATAATTCTTCACCGGAAGGATATGATTTGGATGGTCCACGGTTTGAGTTTCAGTGACAGCATTGCACATTTTTTACTTCTCCTGCTTCAAAAAGACCCAATGAATGTACAAGTTGCTTTGTAAGGTATTCTCTCTCTCCTTTTCAGATGTTAGTAGAAGCATGTGCGATAAGCAGTCGGGGGCTTTGAAGTAAGATTCCTCATAAGAGCTCTCCACATTTCTCATAATTCCGAGCTCTAGAAAATCAGTATAACTCAGTCGGGCCTAAAATCTTGTGGATTATTGATAACAACGAGGATTTGGCGATTGGATTCTCGCCTCCTCAATCGTCCTCAAGTGGGAGAGAACATGCGATATTATCTCACTTCTTACCGCCTACCTTCGTGGTAAAATTGCAAGCACATTCAACTAGCAATCGATAGGTACGAAGTTAAAAACCCGGCGCGAGAATTGAATATTTTACCCGTGTTTCGCTTCTAAAATCTGATGACTCTACAGTTTGGTACAGGAAATTTTTATGAGCAGTATATTATATAAAAAATAACTATAGATGATAATTATTCAGACAGTATTGATGCTTAAGGAAACAAGTTTACCCAAGAATGAAATAAAAAATTGTTTGCTATCTAAAGAATTATTCTAAATATTTTACATTTTTAATTACTTTAATACACTATAAATAATTTTCATGAAAATTGTTTTAATATATCAAAAAACGTTTTTGCAGGATGATATAAACAATTCCATTTTACATTTTTTGCAGATAATAGCAAGATCAATCTTCGAGGGTACAAAGAGACTTTTGAAGCTTCACTGCAAGATAAATGAAAGCAAGAATTAATATTATTAAATGAAATTTATTCTGTAAAACGTTAAAGCAAGCAAATACCAGAATAAAAGAATAAATTTTATGAAAATGAAATCAAGTTCAATTATTCATGAAAATTGTGTTTTATAGTGTGAATGTTCCTGTTGTGTTTAAGATAAAGTTAAAAAAAAAAAAAAAAAAAAGATCATAGAAACAAAGAATAAGTAGTTGGAAAATTATGCTATTTAAAAAAAAATCAGTTTCTTATTTCTCATTTTGAAGAAAAAGAGTATAAGCTAAACTACATTTATTTTCTATGTCAAATTACATAAGTTCTTTTTTAAAATATTTAATAGTATAAAAATTTAAAAAGTTACAATTAACAATTCATGCTCCTATATATTATGAGTATTACATAACTAAAAGCAAATGTATCTATTAAATGTCATAATTGTAGCTATTTATTGAGTCCAAGGTTAAAGGTAAAGTAATTTAATGACATTTGGTATGCTAATCTCCTCATAGTTAGTTAGTAAAAGTCAGATTATGCACATGGCTCTGGGAATTATATTGAAATGTTTAGCACATACAATGACACAAACATATAATTTTATTAACAAAATAACGTAAGAAAAGCATTTTTCATTCCTATTGCAATCAGGCTTAAAGCTTCTTATTACGTTTCTTTAATATTGCTTAAATATTAAACATCTTTTAGTACAGTATTTTTAGCATATTTATTTAGACACTTCTAAACTAAATATTAGCTAGTTTCCCTAACAAAGCCATCTCTGTGGTCATCCTTCTTGTTAGGCCAGACACTTGAAATTGATTAAACTACAATATCTTGGATTGTGATTGAAGTTCATGTTAGAATGCTTATTTTCATTTGACACTAAAACAAACTGAAAATTTATTTATACAGTAACCACGCCTTAATTCGCTTAAGGCAAACAGTCGGTTAACATGAAGAGAATTTCTGCAACGGTAGCGAAAAATAGGACCTTCTAAGGATGTTTTTATCGGTTAATACGAATTTCGGTTAATAGAAGTACTATTTATGTTTTAGACCGTTTAATCGTTAGATTTTATTATTTAACATGAGGTTTCAAAATTTTTCAAATTTTTTTCCTGTTGTCTTCTGTTCCTCCTCGGGGGTGTTGACGCCGGTAAAACCACTGAAGCTACCGGGTAGGATCTGTACTTAGGCAATCTCGATCAGGGGGTATAAAATCAGTCTTCACAGGACCAGAACCACCATTTATTCGGTTGTAGGTTCGAGCTAGGCAGGGACATACGGTACTGTGTTGTCTGTCCCTTTGGCTGTGGGATTGTTAGATCGTTAGATTACGGAAGATTGGCTTTGAGAGTTTGTTTCCTTTGCTCAGCACTAGGACTACGTTGCATTTTATTCTCCTTGTTGGTGAATTCGTGGCCGTCCACCTTTGGGTACATAAACACAGACTGCGTGAACATATAAATCCCCCTGGGTATGCCTTCTTGTATAGCTTCTAGAGGTTGGGGCGAGTAACTATGTCAGGCACTTAAATAAAGCCAGGTTTATGTGCCTCTTCTCCCAAGTGCAATTCACTGGTGTTTTCCTGTCAGGACTGCGTTCAGAAATTTTCTTTTCAGTATAATTGAAAACATCACGATTGCACTGTGTTCTTTAAGCATAGTGAGCTTGAATAACTTTGTTTGACAGTAAAGACCATTGCGTCAATGATGAGTTTTTGGAGTTAATGCAAAAGGCGATGTTGCCATATGTGCTGCAATGAAATCTAATGCACAGGCAGTTGTGTCTGACAGGTTTGAAAAGTCATCAGAAGAAAGTGAGGAGGGTAATATGACTTCGCTCACCCGCCAGAAAAATGTCACACACCTTGGACACTGTAGAGTGTTTCACTGCAACATCCTAATTTCACGGAAGCCATGAATACCGCTGGCCGTGAAAATCGTGATTTTGAGTGCATTTTTTCAAGTTACATTACAGTAATTAATGTAAAACTATAGAGATATCTTGACGACATGCATAGTACGAGTATATTGTAGTGCTTATGTAACTATATACTGTAAATGGTTAATGTATAGAAAAATTTATTCCGAAAATAACATTTGAGTCCCCAGTTCACACGAATTTTTTAACATGAAATTTTGATTTTTCGGTCCCTTGAAATATGTGTTTAGGAGGACTTATTGTATTATAGCACTAAAATGTCTTTTGTTGCAGATACTTCATTGAAATTTATGTAATTTTTAAAATTAATGTTTTAGGGTTTGAACAGAAATAATGTTTTTCTTCGTAAACATTTAAGGTACAATGATGCAAGAATCAGTCAAGAGAAAATATCACGTATTTTTCTAAAACATATCCAATCCAATTTCTCGAAAGATATATAAAATAAAAGATGGATTATTTGGAGCTTTGTATGAAATTATTACAGAAGTTTTAAGAGGTGAATCGTTGAAACAAAAGACAATATATGTCAAGTGTCTGTTCTGAGAGCTAACTATTAGGTCAGTTCATAAATTCGTGCGCATTGTTTGGTAAATTTTTAAATAATATAAAAAAACACAACACAATTTAACATTTTAATCAATTATATATTTTCCTCCACTATCTACAATGTCTCGCTATCTTAACAGGCAGCTTTTTTAGGCCATTGCTGTAGAAAGACTGGTTTTGATGCAAAAAAGCTTGAAAGTTTATTGTGTACATCCTGTTTATAATTTAATGATTTTCCCAGTAAAATATTTTGTAAGGCAAGAAATAAGTGAAAATCACATGGGGCAATATCTGGGGAGTAAGCAGGATATGGCCAAAGCTCCCGATTAAATTCACTCATTTTTTGCAGCGTTGTTTGAGCCGTATGCGGTCTAGCGTTATCATGATGAAACAACACTTTCTCGATATTCACCAATCGTGGGGCGTCTTTTCATCCATTCTGAGTTTAGACTGCAAAGTTGTTCATTATAAACTTCTGAATGGATTGTTTGATTTGGTTCTAACAGTTCAAAATGTCCTGAATGGCGTTCATCATCAGTGCTGCTTTTTCCAAGTTTAAATTTTTTAAACCATATCTGGGCAGTCCTTACACTAATAGTGTGTTCACTACGTACACTATTAATTTTTATAGCTGCAAACCTGGCAGATTCACCACACGAAAATAAAAACTGTATCACACAGCACGTTTGTAATGATTATCTATATTCATGTTCTATGGGTACTAAAATGCGTTCGATATTTACGTAAGTTGGTGATGAACTGAATAATATGTTTCAACAGGTTCAAAATTGTATTGTTTTAGTAAATACGTCATAGTGAATTCCATGCATACTCTTAATGCGCACTAACTTATGGACTGACACGATATATAATGTTTAAATTAATTTTTAAAATATTCATCGTTTTAGTTTTTAAGCAAACATGAAACATTTTATAATGATGAATATTTTCATGAACCATTTTGTTATGGATGCGCTTAGATAATTTTTAGGTTTTACTGCATATTTATATCTTTATTTTAATTTAGGTTTCTGGATTTAAAAAGCAATATTTATTTAACCAATAATATCACCTTTTTCGGAGTTAACATATCACAACCATATCACCAGTTGCAGGCGCAAGCACTAAATTAAGATTGAACTGCCTTTGTAATTTAAGAAAGAAAGCTGAAATTTCAAAAATTTTAAACATTTATTTAAAAAAAAAACAAATTAAACATTTGAATATAGTATATTTATGAATGCATGTGTACAAGAACACCAAACGGTAGGTTTAAACTTCAAAATATCAAAAATTATAACGAAAAGCAAATTTCAATACGAGTTACAAAATTTAAGAATATCACGAATCTTATCACTTATCACGAATTGTGCAAATAAATCTAATGGCGCCTTCGTAATTTAAGAAATTTGACATTTAAAATCTAAGTCACTTAAATTTTAAAAGCTTAAACTGAGGTAAAAATAAGATAAAACATTTATTACCCTAATTCGAATTCTTGTGCAGAGGGAATTCTCGTTAATTTACAGTGGTATAGAAAAGGATTAATATAAAACTTTGAAATTTTGGTCAAATTCATGATCAAAATTTTACATTATCTCTCTTCAAGAGATATCTTATAAATTTCATTAAAACAGTCTTATTTAATCGATTATGAAAATGAACCGAATTTGCGAACCTATCTTGACAACGAAATCGAATCCTGAATTTTTAGAAGTATTTAATTGGTAGATAAAAATGGGTATTTGGATTAATAAACAAATTGCAGTAATATAAAGAAATGCTGATTTTATTTTTTCTTCTAAACTAGTAAGTTATTTAGCTAAGATTCATTTACATTTATAACAAGATGGTTTTTCCAATTCCACTTCCCCAAAGTCCAAGTCCAGTGGGAATTCCAATAGCAGTATTATGTCCAATGACGCTGCTGTAAGCAGCAACAGGAGTTGCAGCTGTTAGGGCTGGTGCAGTTAAGACCGGAGCAGCAGCTACTGCAGGAGCGACGGGAGCAACGGGTGGAGCATAGGGACTTGCTATCATGGCAGCAGCAGGAGCACTAAGAGCGGTACCAGGTTCATTTGTCTTGACGGAAGCTCTGAAGCCTAAGGCGTCTGCGACGTAATCCACTCTGCGAGCTCGGCCATCGATATCAGTTATGGTATAGGCTCCCTTCTTGTTTCCAAGAGCATCTCCCATTTCAGCCCGAGAGTTGGTGGCACCCAAACCATTGGCAATGTCATAACCAAAGGCATAATTTCCAACAGCCTAAATAAAAAAGTGCATTAATCTGTAATTTAATCTTTTTGTTCTCATACTACTTAATATCATATTCTTGAATTTCAAAGATTCGATTTAAATACAGTTACGTACTTATTTTGGCGAGGTGTTAAATGAGCTTATCATTGCTCATACAAGTTGTTGTTTGTTATTGTAGATGTCAAAGAATCAGCGTTATATTAATAAAATTTCCAATTAAACCATCGAAACTAGTCCTGGAAAATTTACTAATAAAACGCTGATTCTTGCTGTTTGAATTCTCCAATAATAACTTTTTCGGCGTGGTGTTTGAACCTAAATTACTGTTTGTTGTCAGTATATTTATTAGTCAAAAAATTCTGTTTTTATGACAAATAATACTAAACAAAATATAATATCTTTAAAAAGAAAAGAAAATCTAAAAGTTTTCTGGTTTTAAATTACTTCGAAAGGGGCGTTTTTTCAACATTTTGTGTGTTACCTTTATTTATTAAATATCATGTTCTTCGCACTTAAACCATAAAATTCATTTCAAGAGCAATATCGCAAAATGCTTTTTAAATTGAGCATATCTTTAAAATTTCTGATATGCAGTCTCGCGCACTGGAGATAAAAATTTGTTTCTTCGTACAGTGTTGTCACTGTTCGTTTTGAAATCGTTGAGTTCGTTAATCAAAAATTCATTAAAGTTTTACAAGATATAAAATAGGTAATAAAATAAAATTCCAAATTAGGGCTTCCAGATGCCCATATTCGAGTGGAGGACTACGTTATTCAAAATTTGATGTCTCTAGGTACCGTTGTACTTTCACTGTGCGAGAAACACACATACATTCATGCAGATTCTTCATAATTTAATTCCTTTAAATATTACACAGGGCTCTAATATTTGGTGGCAACAATTTGAAAAGTGAAATGCCGTTTGACGCAGAATGCCAAAATGAAATTAATAGCCATTCTGGGCAAATTGCTCTTTGGTCTAATAAGAATGTGTTTTTCTTCGAAAACTCAATTGTTACGCTTTTCGATGATCAAAATAAATAGAAAATTAAAGGAAATAGATTGTGAATTAAAAAGCCGTTAAAAAACAACATATTGAGAAATCAGCTATGGAGAAACAACATTTTCGGTATTTTTTAACTAAGGATAGTAACTTACATGCACGTGATATGTGAATAATTTTAAGAATATAATGCTCTTTCTTTTTACAGAGAAACTCAAACTGATGATTTTAAAACAAGTCAATTAGTTTGAATTTTCTGTGTATTAATTATTTTGTATTTTTTCATTTTCTGCATATATATATGAATTTAATTTCTTTGCCATATTATGTATACTTACATCTTGTTGTCTTGAGCTGCTGCTGATGCCCGTGCTGATGATAGGAGCAGAAAGAATGGCGGCGGCATTGACTGCTGCAAGTGCAGCGCAAAATACACTTATCTAAACGAATGAAGTTTTTTATTATTATTCAGCAATAATAACATTTAAATGATATTGATTTACGAAAGGATATACAAATTAGTTACTTAAAGTACGCAATAGCGAAAATTAAAGTTGCTAAATTAATTAAAGTTGTTAAAATTAAAATTAAAGTTGCTAAATTAAAGTTGTTAAAATTAAAATTAAAATTAAAATTAAATGCTAAATTAAAGTTGCTAAATTAAAATTAAAGTTGCTAAATTAAAGTTGCTTTTAATGTGGGTTATTTTAAACTTACGTAAAGACAAAAATTTTCAAAAACCGCATAATTGAACTAAAAGCTATTTATGAAAACAATTTGCTCAGGAATAACACAAACATACTGGTATTAGAAAGTGCTGCTTTATTTCAGAAATTATATACAGTGAAATGCATTTTATCTTCAACGACTAAAAGAAATTTAAACCATATGAAACAGGAATAAACCATATCAGAAAATGTTTTCAGATTTTCTGATAAAAATATCAGAAAAAAAGAGTGCAAATAAAATCTGAAATATTGCTTTGAATTTTGCTTGGAATAATTAACAGGTTAAAAACTTCTGGAGATTTTTTTGCCTTAACAAAAAACGTCCATTCCATTCTTGGTTTACTTGTTTTGCAAAATTTGCTTTACATTCTTTTCATGCTTTAATTTTAAAGAAACATATTTTGCATGTCCTGATAAGGCAATACATATATATGATTTCTGTACTAGCATTTAAAATATGTTTTTTACATTTAATTCCTGTAAAAATTGTACTTTGGAGTTTTCCAGTTACTATTAATACAAATGAAAGCAAATAATTCTTAAATTTATTAAATTAGATTCAAGTATAGAAGAAATATATTAAATTCAGAAATTTTCGTTACGTGCCAAGCAGTCTTTCTTCCCTCCTCATTGCATTAGATTTGGTCTGGTTTGTTTGATTTCGACAAAGCCCTCGAGGGCTATCTGTCAAAAGAGAGGGATGCCTTCGTGAAGGAATGTCTAAGGGAAACTGGCTCGAATAGTTGTTATACATGGGTTAAACCCCGAAAACGCCCATGTAGCCAGTTCGTTCGCTGAGATTCGAACCCCGGACCGAACTATCAGTGGTCAGCGATTTCACCACTCGGCCGCTGGTGGGCCTTTCTATGGGAAAATGGCTCGTATACCTGTCACACATGAGAAACACCACGAAAATGTACATGCTACCAGCCCATTCACGGGATATGAACCCCGGATCAAATTACCAGTGGTCAGTGATTTTGTTCAGCGACGGTAGGTCTGAGCAAAAGGAGAAACAAATGATAACTTAGCTGTTATTTAATATAGACACAAAAATTTAATCTTTTCTATGTTTACTTCCTATGCCTTCTGCAATTAGTATTATATAAGGTAAATTCTGGATAATTTCTTTTGACTCTTAAATAGAAATGGATAACTTTAAAGTTTCAATTTCAGTATTAAAGACTTTATTTAATTACTGTTTAAAATGTATAGCCAGTTAAGTTACACTTGAGCACATTTTTGTTGCTTTGCCGCGTTCATTTTGTAACTTTGATTAATTAAAAAAATGCATCACATACATTATCGTTCCTGAAATTCTAATTCTTTGAAAATAATACTTCATGAACTGATAATCTTTAACAATTTGCTATTTTAACACTGATGAAATAATTATTACACTGAACCTGAAATATCTAACATGAATTACTTTATATTTCAGATCAGTAAACTAATCTCCATAACAAAACTAATGATATTTTCACGAGAAACTACGCAAAACAACAGGTTTGAAAGACTGTATGTAGAACTAAGTAATGTAGTATATATTCGTACTTGGCTAATAATTAACAAGAGATAAAGGTAGTTATTTTTATCAGCAATTATAATTAACAAGAGATAAAGGTAGTTATTTTTCGCTAAACATTAAGTTTTATTTATGTTGAAAACAGGATGTCTTTTAAATTATTGTCAAATTTATTATCACTAGAAGTACAAAAATATGTAAGCATTTGATCTAAACATGCCTGCGTTGCTTTACATTCGTTTTTTTTAATAACTGCTGTTTGTTGTAAAGTTATAGAACAAACATGAAACATTACATAGAAATATATTGTATTTGATGCAAATAACACTGACTGATAACTTTTGAAGAAGTATTAAAATGCTATTAACCCGCGGGAAAGCGCGTGGGGTGTATCATGCCCCAACCCTACATAAAAGTGGAATATTCCTAACTTGTGAAACTGAAATTCTGTGCTGCTTTCAGTAGCTGAGTTTCTAGTTGTGCTTGACGTTCAGAACCGCTTTTTCTTTGCCTGTGTGTTTCAGAAAAAGATTTATCGGTATTTTGTTCGAACTGGGGTATGACACACCCCACGCGCCAGTCCGCGTAAGTGTTTTTCTGACTGAATATTTAGTTCAGAAATTTATTTCTAGAGTGTAACAGTAAATATTTCTACTCGCAAGTAATTTTAAAGTACTTGACATTAAATTCTTAAAAATTTCTAACTGCATTATGATAAAAAGAATGACTCTCTATGAATAGGAGATGCAACGCATATGAGATTTATTAGAAATATTTGAAAGCGATGAAGATCGGATTTCGGAAACTAAAGATGAAGCTAGGAATATGTTTTACACTGCTTTGGTTTCAAAAAAGATAAAACAATAATTCCTGATATTCCTAAAAAAAGTAAAAACTGTTCTTATGCTTTCAACATTATATAACGATCATACTATAGATGATACTATTGGAGAAAATAAAACGTCAGAAATTATATGTTTTATAATATGACTAAAGGAGCAGTGGATATGGGGGATGAAAATGTCAGCCAATTATTCAATTCCCAGAATAACAAGGAGGTGGCCAATGGTAATTTTCTTTTCTACACAGAATGTTGCTGTTATAAATACTTGAATTACATTCAACTGCTAATCCACCACCCAGAAACAGAAGTCTGTCTTTGAAGGACTTAGCATTACAATTAATGAAGAAAAAGTATTGAACAAAGATCAGAGATTAATACTTTACCAAGAAACTGACGTACTGTATGCAAAACAAAAGCAGAAAATTCGACGAAGAATTAAAACGAATACATGAAATTCGAAGCGACTAAGTATGAAAGATGTTATAAATTTTTTGCCCTCGCGCCAAGAACAGAAGAACGTGAATGTAATGTTTAAAATGTGAAAACATTTTGTGCCAAGAACACATGAATGTATTTCGTTCAAAGTGTGAAGAAATAAAATAAGCGTGGTGTATTAGAGATGCAATGAAACTTAGAGGCATGATGTTTATTATTTTCATTTATCTTAATTTTAACTCTAAGATTATTTTGGAAATTAATTTTTTGAAACCCAGTTATTATTCACGTATTTATAATACACGAGAACAAGAAAAACAGCTTTAAAACTAAATAAAACTATTTTTATCGTATTTTAAATATTGGGTTATGTGATACCCCAGCCGCCCGCTCTAGCAACTTTTGTTGGGGCGACTTCCGCCGGGTTAATGATGTTTGAAGTGTGTTATATTTTTATTATTGATTAGAATTTATATTTTTATAATTTACTTGAATTACGATAAACATTTATTCTTAATTTTAACAAGTACACAAGCCTCAACTAATCCAGAGGTTGTGCTGCAATTTTTCATCAATTACAACACACAATACTATTTCAAATAATAATTTAAAGAAATCAGTATATATTTAATTTCAATAAAATGCTGAGAATTATTAACAATTAAAGGGATTTTGTTTTAAAATTGAAATAATACCGTCAAACTCGTAAAATTGCTTCCTGTAAGGAGACACTGAATAACTTCCTGTAAGGAGACACTGAAATGTTAACTTACCTTTGCGATCATTGTGAACTTTTTCTATCAATTTCCTAACTCGGTTAATGAAACGAAAACTAGGAAGAAGCTTTTATGCTCTTCAAATGAATTTCCTCAAGGTCGCAGAAGCAACGAAACGCGTTACGCTGGGTGGGGCACGTGTTAGAAATATCAGGAATAACATCTGATTAACATTTGAGTTGTTTTTGTTTAGATTCGATGGGTGCTTGAACTTGTTTCAGAATGACAGGAATAATTGCCATGTGCGTTTGAACTAGTTTCGTTTCTGTTAAGATTCATCCACGTGAAAAACACGTGAATCCTGAAACAAGACAGCCTTCTGTCTAGATTGGGCTGAAGTTCTTTAGTTGGTAACCTTTAGTCGTAATTAAGTTTTTAATTCATTATGAAAACAGTTTCAAGAAAGACAATTATTTTAAGTCGCATTATTTTTTCTTAAGGCATTTTGCAATGAATTTCAAAATTTTAAATACATTCAAGTTAAAAATATTTATGCCTAGTCTATTGGTTTTTTCGTTACTTCATACATTATGTTAGCTGCGGTAACATAGGTATTGGTTACTTGAATTTGGTAAAGCACACGTAGGCTATCTGAATAAGAAAAAGCGAGGACTTTCTAAGGAATCATGGAAGACCTATTTTGTTTTCATGGAGGACTTTCTAAGGAATCATGGAAGACCTATTTTGTTTTCATGGAGGACGTTCTAAGGAAAATGGGTTAGTATTCATGTGAATATCTGGAAAATCACAAAAAAAAAAAAAAAATCCCATAGAGCCATAGAATCGCGAAAACGCCTTGGATTGAGCACGGAACGAGCTACCAATAGTCAGCAGTTTTAAACATTTGAGGTTAACAGCATCGGCAATTCTCTGCGTCTATTTGGTGTTGGTGTATTTAATTATGGCAAAGCACACGAGGGCTATCTGCCTAAAGGGAGGGATGCCTTTCGTGGAGGACTTTCTAAGGGAAACTGGCTCGTATACACGTTACACATGGGGAAAACCACGAAAACGCCCATGCAGCCAGCCCGTTCGCGGGATTCGAACCTCAGACCGAACTACCAGTGTTCAGCGTCTTTACCGCTCGGCCGCTGGTGGGCCTTCTCTGCGTCTAGCAAAAGGCTTGTAGTTAGATTCTTGCTAATCTTGCAGTGGTAGATTAATTGTTCTCTCAGTTCATGAAAGTATATTTCATATTGATTGATGGAGACAAACGTAGTGAGTTCAAGGCAATAAAAGTTTTCTGGTATTCTACAATTAGAGCAATTTCTTATTAAATTTTAGCTTTGGCAATAAGTTAATTCAAAGATTAAAAGAAATACTTATTCTATTCATGTAGTTAATAAAAGATGTTTTTAAGATGTATATTTTATACCTATGCATATAATATCAACATTTATACATTGTTTATTCGTGACTTTGCGGTACATTGGGATAAGAAATTAGTACTCTTACAATAAATTTGGATATTCAATTTTACATTTTACGAACATCCTAAATTCTCAATCTGTCTCCAGATTGGAATGAAACAAATGCACCTCGGATTTAATACCTTGTAATAGTTTTCAAAAATTTATTAAATATTTGTCAATCCTTAAAAGAATAATTTGGTACGAGAGTTTGTCCTAGCCATTGGAGATGTCCATCCAATTATTTAGTACTAAAATAAAAACTTAGTTCTCTAACAAGCCATTAATTTTAATATTTGCACATGAAACAATCATAAAAGCGAAGCACCATTTTTCTAAATATCAGAGTCAAGAAAAAGATAATGCAAGTTTAAAAAACATTTATTTGTTTCACCTTTAAAAGAAGACTTATTCATACTAACAGATAAGATTATATATAGTTTGAGCAACAAAAGTCAGAATAATCACTGTCTCTTGAAATGCGTTACATTTGACTTTACATTTACATTAACCCTTTTGCCGTCCTCTCTTGTCCGCGAAAATTTCTCCCCAGCCGCCTTTGTTTTTCGCAACGTGTAATGTTGTTTACTCTGTACATACATAACTTTCGCAGTGAATGAATGTAAATGAATATTAAGTAAAGTTATAAGGAAATAAAGCATAATGGAAAAGTAATAATATCTCTGCTTATTTCTAACAGCAGGATTAATTTGATAACATCTGATCCAGGCGGTCCACTCCTCCCATTTTGTTGTTGTAATCTTTTACAATTATTGGTTTATTTACAGTTCTTTTCCGTGTTCCAACATAAATCATCGAGTTATTATGGACGGTACTCATCAAACGTATATCCTTCTTGGCTTTCCAATTCCCAACCTCATTTTTTCTCTCTTTCTGCTGAGTAGATGTTGAAGATCTCTTACTGTCTTGTATATGTAAAATTGCGCGAATATTCATAAAACCCGGGGGGCGGAAATTCAATTAGATATAGAATGACTGATTAGTACTGCCCTCTAGGAGGTATTAGAAAAAACAAAAATAAAAACTCAAACAAGTAAACATTTAGAAAGCGTTTTAAACGTTTAGAAGTTTTAAAATGTAGAAGAACGCTTGAAGCGCGTTACGGCCACCCTGCAGAAGTTTCATTTGAACGCGCTAGACTCGTTACGGACGACGAAGAGGTTAAGAAAAATTAGAAATAATTTGAAAGTGCTTAAAAAGTAGAATATATCGAATATATAATGTATTTTTTCCTTCCTTCCAGCATGCCTTCGTGGTGTAGCAGTTAGTACACTCAGTGCGTATTCTAGAGGTCCTTGTTCAAGTCCTGGGAATGTCATGGCTCATATTTCATGTTTTCAGCTTCGAAATAACCTAATGATTCTGTAAGTTTGTTAGTGATGAAGTTAAGAAAAAAGGAAATTCTACATTCTGGTGTCTATTTCTATTTCTGCCAAAGGTTATCAAAAAATTATTCTGTTTTATTAAATAGCTAAATTTATATATTTTCCAATATAAGGTGATCAGTGTATCAGCTAAGAGGTTAAGATTTTGCTAAAAAATGTTTGCCATAAGTTGAAACCCGTGAATAAGCTGAATTCAAAATTGCCCTGTAACTCCAGTTATCAAAATTTAAGTTATGCTTCTAACTCCAGTTATCATCAAAAGTTCAAATAGCTTGTATTTTGTTTGTGGGAATAATCTATCATCCAACTTACTATCTTTGATTTTCTAATAGGAAATAGATGAAAGGTTCATGCTAAATAGATGAATCTTTCATCCATTTCTTACCAAGCGAGATGAAAGGTTGTGTTAAATCCCGAAATATTTCAAAAACAGGCCAAAAACGATGTCTAACAAGACTTTCATCAGTAATGTTACAGACCAGTGGTCTTCAAACTGTGTTTCGCGGAACCCTGGGGTTCCGTGAATCAAACTCCGCGGTTCCGTGAGTCAGATTCTGGGGTTCCGCGAGTCAAAATAAAAATTCGAAAGGAAAATTATAAAGCACATATATTAATTAGCTAGCGTTAACTAAAAAATATAAAGATACATTTAGTTATCTTTGAAAGGCGAGCCCACCGCAGTCACTAAATATAATACAAGGGTAGGGAACATTTAGAGCACGAGTTAATGCTATTACTAAGCATATTAGAATTTGACTTGCTTCAGTAGCACCAACTAATTCCAAGCTCCTAACAGACTTGGAATAGTCTTGAAATAGTTCCCAATTGAATAATGAACTCCAAAGAATCTTGAAATGGTGTGAAATATTATTTTTAATAAATCAGAATTTGAACATAAACATACTTCTTGCGCTTTACAGTATCAAACATTACTTGTGACGATGTAACTTAGCAGTTAAATTCAAATTTAAAACTTAGTGGTAAAAAATTTCATAAATGATTTTAAATTATAAGTTGGCTTATAAGGTATTTCACCCGCCTTCTTGGCATACTTTCGTGGTGTAGTGGTCTGCGCGCTGGGCGCGTATTCCAGAGTTCCGTGGTTCGATTTCCGGCGAAGGCATTGCTCATTTTTTCTCACTCCTGCTTCCAAAAATTCCTCATGTCTGTTCAAGTGGCGCCGGAACTAACAGGGTGGTGGATGATGATTCTCCACACCCAGGATTTGGGCAATTGTGTCACCTAAAACCCCAGTCACTCTTAAAGGTATTTTCCCCTCCTTCTTAGCGGGCTTTCGTGGTGTGGTGGTCTGTACGCTCGGCGCGTATTCCAGAGGTCCGTGGTTCGATTTCCGACGAAGGCGTTGCTCATTTTTCATCTTGCCTGCTTCCAAAAAATACATAACGTCTCTACAGGCTTAGAACTACTTCCTCGTATAACAATTAATTCTCAGCCGCAGTAAAGCAAAACCGATATTACATAATCTTATCAGAACTGGGGAAGCCTAGTAATGTGGTCTCAAGAGGTAGAAACAGGCTCTGTCTTGCAGTAAAAAACCCTCGATTTAAATACTCTCTAACTCATTAACATATCTGGTGAGGAAAAGGAGAAGTTATATTAAAGGTCTAAATCATAATAACTGGTTAATTTAAATAATGATAGCTCTACAGGTCAATTACATTAATTATTTTTTTAATAAAAATACAATACTTTTCTTTAATTGCCTTTATATGTCAATATACCTATTGCATATCGATTTAATTTAAATATCATTTTATGATATATTTTTCTAAGGGTTGTAAATCGCTGTAGTTCTAAGGGTTTCGTAAACCGACAAAGTTTGAAAGCCACTGCTAAAGACGGAACTGAAGGTGATATAATTCGCGCGGCGACTAAGGACGAATGAACAGCAAAACGAAGAACGATGCCATTCAGCCAGCTTAACTTGCAGGAGAGAAACATTTCTAAAATCTGCTAGAAAATTATGAGTCCGGTACTTACGTTGAGAAGCTTTATTAGTGTATACTAGGCGTTAATAAAATATAAATAATACTTTTGCAGTGAATTTTAAACATTTTAGTTATTAATTATTGTCTCGGTGATTTCTTTATGTAATCGAATTACTTATTTTGAGCTCATATAGAGTAATTTTGAGTTCGTCTGTAAGCCTACTAAAAAAATTCAGAAATTCAAAATTATATATGAAAATATGTGCTCAGAAAAAATTGAAAAAGACCACCTTTCTTCTGCTCGGTAACAACAGCAGCTGTATCTAATAATTTTAAATATAATTTTAAGAAGCTTTGGAGAAATACAGAATTACAGGCCCACCAGCGGCCGAGCGGTTAAGTCGCCGAACACTGGTAGTTCGGTCCGAGGTTCGAGTCCCGCGAACGGGCTGGCTGCATGGGCGTTTTCGTGGTTTTCCCCATGTGTAACGTGTATACGAGCCAGTTTCCCTTAGAAAGTCCTCCACGAAGGCATCCCTTCTCTTAGGCAGATAGCCCTCGAGGCTTTGCCATATTCACACACACACAGAATTACAATATGTTAGTAATTCATCGAAATTTGCTTATTTTGAAAACAGTGACTTGATTTCATAAAAGATTAGTCAAATTAGCTTTCCAGTTGCTTAAATATTTTTTTTTTACCATGAGAAATGAGCTTTAGAATTATTTTAAACCTAAATTGCCAAAATGCGTTGCATGTCAGAATTGATTGCAAAGGAATGCCCGCTTCAGATAAAATGGAAAATACTTTTAATCTATATTTTAAGTATATCTCAACTTGTTTTTATGACTTCATGCGAAAATTATAATATATAATTATCTTTGAGAAATAATTTGTTTAAGAAGTAATAAGAAAACATTTTCTGCATCTGACTCAAGAGGTGTGCTGTTTTTAGCAAATGTCTGATGCAACATTATCTAATGTTGCTGTATGGACAACACCTTTATTTAGTAAACATGTTTTCAATGTCATTTAAAACGGGTGGAGTTTACAAATCCGTTAAAGGCATCACTTCCTGCATCATCTACACCCAAGATATTTCAAGGTATTGAAAAGAGTATATAAGTCAGGAAATGAAATCAATAAGGCATCGCTAGTTGCTCAGCACTTACAACTTCCGAAAATGATTGCTAAGGTAAGATACTTTTAATATTTACTTGGGAAAATGATTCTTTTTCCTTGATGTTATTTTAGCTTAAAAATTTATCTCTAACGATTGTGAGAAGAAAAGTATAAAAAATTGGAGACCAAAAATCTCTGCTTTTAAGTAAATTGCTGCTTATATTAAAACGTGTTTATTTTAGAGATTTATTTGAAAATAAAATTTTAGTGATAAAGATTGTAATTATTTTAACAAAGCATATATTTTGATAAAGCAGAATTTATTAAATTTTGCTGATGAATCTTCTCAGCCTGCAGAGAAAGAAAAACACTTTAAAACTACAACAATTAACGTTTTGCTTAAATATGTTTTAATTCATTGATGAATACTTAAATAATTTAGGCTAATTAGCTCTCTAATTACTTAATTTAAAATGCATTTATATTTCAATTCCATTCTTCTACGTGTTTTAAATAAAGGAATCAAAATGTAATCACAAATGGTAAACTTTTTGCCATATTTTTAAGTTCTTCATTATATTTTAAAACAAGTTCTTTTTGTATTTAGTACTTTTCTACGTCATATTTAAGGTTTTGAACTTTACGTTAGTATAAACGCAGAAGACCTGCAAGAAATATTGTGCTAAATGTTACAGAAATATAATTAATCAAATCAAGTTATTAATTACTTTTACAAAAACATAATTGTTTCAGAAAATAATATCAAATTTCGTAGGATAAAGAGTTTATTCTTTAAATTGTCTATTAATACTAATTTTATTTGATTAACTGAGAGAAAGTTATGAACATTAAATTTATTTCGATACATAACATTTATTTTCTTTTGCATCTTCTTTAATGTCATTTGTGACTTTTGTGTGTTGTTGCCGATTATAGAAAGTTATATTACGTTGAAAAGTTTTAGTCAACATTTATGTACGTTTTATGGAAGATAAAATGTTAATTCTGTACAAGCAATTTTGGAATGGTTCTTTTGAATGTTTTGCTATTATTATAAAGAACTAATTCTTCCTTAATAAGCTTACACTGCAATGATTAGCATATCAAATGAGCTCACAGCAGTATCGCCTTAAATTAGAGCCAACTTACACTTTTATTTTTAAACATTCCTAATTCCTAATATCACTGTTTTGCCTCTCGAAATAAAAGTGGGTGATAATTGCTTTCTAAATAATGTTTGAAACATTTTCATTACTCGAGAGGAAGGTAAAAAATTAAAGTCTACTCTTCATAGACTCATACAGTTCATCTGCTCACTGTATAGAGACATCAGGATTTTTTGGAAGCCAGAGAGATGAAAAATTAGCAACCGCCTTCGCCGGGAATCGAACCACGGACCTCTGGAATACCGGCCCAGCGTGCAGAACCACTACACCCCGAAGGACGCTAGGAACGTGGAAGAAATATCTTATATACTCCCCTTTTTAAAGGGCGACTAGGGTTTTAGGGGACATAGTCGCCAAATCCTGGGTGCGGAGAAACCTCATCCAACACCCTTTTAGTTCGGGCGCCACTGTAGAGACATTAGGTATTGAAAAGAGTATACCTAATGTCTCTACAGTGACGCAGACAAGATTTTTGAAAGCAGACAAGATGAAAAATAGCAACCGTCTTCGCCGGGGAATCGTACCACGGACCGTTACACTACGAGCGTGCTACCGTTACACTACAAGCGTGCTACCGTTACACTACGAGCGTGCTACCGTTACACTACGAGCGTGCTACCGTTACACTACGAAGGCAGGCTAGGGAAGTGGGAGAAATACCTTATAATATATATATATGCAATAAGTATTGTTAGTATGTACTGTTTGGTTTTGTGTACATTCCGATATCTTTAATACATAATGCATATTTATGTACGCTTTCTCCCTTATTTAAACATGTCAGTTTTGTTAAATCTCTATATTCTTGACATTCTCATGTAAGATCTTTGCTGCCTTTTTAATATAGATCTTTACTATTATACACATTTTCCTCTTCATCTAACAGTTACCGTCTTATAATTTCCTATATTTCTATCAGCAAATTGCTTATTGTCCCATTTTAGCTAGCCTTTTATGTAAATGTAGTGTTAATTAGACACTGAAAAGCTTTTCAACACACTCAGTGGACTAAATATATCTACAGATATTTGTGGCGCTGGGAAAAATCCCAAGCATTCGATTAGGTTTGAGTATCATCGTACGCTATCATGAAAGAAATAGAATCATGGTCTGGCATGCCGACGAAACGAAAAGTGCTGGCACACTTTATTTATATCCAAACGATAATTCCATCCATTTTCAACAATTTGTAATTTCCAGTTCCATTATTATTTCAAAAAGCTCAGGAGCACCGTGTATATTCATTCCGCAAAAATGCCCAAGAAAAGATTGAAGAAAAAAAATATATAACTTAGACTATTAAGAACTGGAATAGGAATTTTGAGTCTGGCAGTGAATTTTGAAGATTCGTTTTTAAATTCCAGACTTCTTAAATAACATCTTATTTAAACAATATTTAACACGTTGACTACCGTGCGGGGGGTCACCGGTGGCCGGCACATGACTTGGCTACAGCTCCGTGGGAGCGAGGGGGGGGTCACCAGTGACTGGTGACGCGACCAATAGTAAAAATACATTATTAGAGTAAATATTGATACTGATGAATTTTTAAATAATACCATTGTTTTCATAATGGAAGAAAAATAAATTGCAAAAATTTAAATAATAAACCACAAAAATGGTCTGCAGCGCTTCGGGGGTCACCGGTGACCCCCTCCCATCACGAAGAATGCATTAAACACGATTATATAACTAACCTTATCTTCCGTAGGTTATATTTCAACATGATATAAATCTCACAATAAAAAAATCATGTCAGCGCCATGGGCAAACCGTGTAAACTACGAGCGGCAGTCAACGCGTTGATACTTATGTACAGCAGTATCAGTAAAAGTATTTAAAATAATGACAAAAGATAGTGCCTTATTTAGAAACTATAAAAGTCATTTCGAAATTTATTAATTTATTTTACAAACCTTTTTGAAAAGTATTTAATTTACATGTGCTTAGATCATGGATTTCATATGCGGTGTAGTTCCGGATTATGTATAATATGTGCAAGTTTTTTTAGAGAGCTATTTCATTTTTCTTTTAGATCGCTCTTCTCCTTGCTGTTGTTGCAGCTGCTCAGTCTTCCACTTTGCTTGCTCCTGGACTATTGAATGCTGGAATTCTAGCACCCTCAGCTGTTTCCATGAGTTCTGCCGTTGCCATCCCCGGTGCTGTCACCACCGACAACAGAATCATCGGAAATGGATTATGGGCCGGTTCTCCCCTTTTACTTAGCAACGGAATCATCGGAAACCGCTTAATCGGAGCTTCTCCTCTTGCACTGAGCAATGGGATCATCTCTCCTATCGGCCCCCGTGGTGCTAGCTTACTTGCAGCGCCCGGAATGGTCAAAACCATTCTCAAATAAATATATATTGTGCACTTGAATTTTCTGTATTAATAAATGAATAACGCTTAATATATCTTAATAAATAATTTCCTTCAAGTTAAGATTTTAAGTTGATTTTTTAATCTTCTGCCTATCAAAACCTTATACTTACGGATCCTTAATTTTGTGGCAGTTACTGATACATGGCTTTTTGCTACGTAAAAAAAAGTGCTATATTCTCAAAACATTTCTAAACGTTAAAAATTTTTTTAAATTAAATTTTTTTGTAAGACCGATTCCTGGAAAGGTCTTAATCATACTTGATTTGCATATGAGCTTTGATCACATGAAAGCAGAAGGTAAACTCCCTCTAAATACAAGGGGAGAAGGGGCTGCGTGGTAGCTACCAATTTACACATTTGTATTAAAGCTTTTTGAAGGGGAAATAATACGACCATTTAAAATGAAGGAAAATAATTATTCAGAATACGTAAAGAGTTTGAAGTTATATATCAAAATATTTTGTAATATTTTGTAAATTTTATAATAAATCTGAAAAAAATTATATTATTGGAATTTGGAATGCAAAAGTAGCTAGAGTTAGTGAAAGACAAACAATTTAATAGCATTTCTCAGAAATCGAATCTTTTGTTTACGTGAACAGAATAAAACTCAAGTTTTACAATGACTCTTTTTACTTCCTTGCAGGAAGTATCGTAATCTCGAAAAATCCCAGGTTTCATATTTAAAAGAAAATATCCGTTTTGACAATTTAACGATGTTTTTGTGTGATATCTGTACGTAAGGACAGAATAAAGGACTCTTGTTCCCCACACGGATTACAAAATTGATTTAAAATGGATTCAGAAGAGATTTTTTTTCGTGGCGTCTGTACGTATGCATGTATCTCGCATAACTAAAAAATGAGTGACTTCAGAAAGTTGAAATTTCGTATATGAGACTGTTATAATATGTAGTTGTGCATCTTCCTTTTTGGTTGCAATCGACCGCAACGATATATATATATATGTAATAATAAAATTCCATAGTCAAAAATACACTTAAAATTCTAACTGTATGTTCTTTTCATTTTTAATGGCGACGGTCTCTTATTTGAAAGTACGTGGAATTAAATCCACAGCCCCGTAGTCAAGTTGTTTTTCCCACCATTTCTACACGTACAGTTATAGAATGTTCTGAAAATATTTAAAGCGAACTGGAATGGCTGACGAGGCTCCGCCTTTCCAGAGGTTATAAAAGGACTCGCAAAGCAATATCGGGGTCCTCCTGAATAATAATAAATGGATCCTGTTTTTTAAACTTATCGTCTGATAATTTGAGCTTCAAAGACATCTATGATTCTTCACCAATCTGTTTATTCCGGACAAAAGCTGGTACATCATACACACACACACACACATATATATATAGTATATATATATATCGAAATACATATTTTTCTATAAAATAATAGCAGTTTAAGACTAAATTTTACTTTAATTTAAAATTTCACTTTATTTTGCCTCGTTTTTCTATTTTACAGTAAATATCTTGATGTTTCAAAACATTCCAAAACCTTATACTTACGGATCCTTAATTTTGTGGCAGTTACTGATACATGGCTTTTTGCTACGTAAAAAAGTGCTATATTCTCAAAACATTTCTAAACGTTAAAAAATTTTTTTAATTAAATTTTTTTGTAAGACCGATTCCTGGAAAGGTCTTAATCATACTTGATTTGCATATGAGCTTTGATCACATGAAAGCAGAAGGTAAACTCCCTCTAAATACAAGGGGAGAAGGGGCTGCGTGGTAGCTACCAATTTACACATTTGTATTAAAGCTTTTTGAAGGGGAAATAATACGACCATTTAAAATGAAGGAAAATAATTATTCAGAATACGTAAAGAGTTTGAAGTTATATATCAAGCCATGGCATTCAGAGTTCTTGATGGGAAGAGTTTTGTCAAGAGTTTGTGTTACAAAAATCACGTCAAACAGTAAAGTAATTTATGGCAAAGTGCTAATGAATGTTAGATCATCCTGTAGGATATCGTTTTCTTTTGGCTATCATTTCAAAGATACGACCTTATAATAAGCCAGGCTACTTCTTGCACAGGTGTGAAGAAACAGCCCAGAGGAAAAGGGTTTAAATTGTTCTTTTATTTGATTTAACTCTTTAACAAAAATGCACATACTTCGTGCTCACGGTAACAACGACTACTTGCGGTGGGAACTTAAGAATAACTTAACAATAACTTTAAATGGCAAAGCGGAATGCTGGACTACTTAAGATTAACAGGCTGACTCAGCAATATACACTGGTTATAGACTTTAAATAAACGACCAGAAGGTGTATCAGTAACTAAGACTAACAGCAGGAAGGACAGAACATCCACGTGCTCTACGCTAGCGAAATCACGCTCTGTTTGACTTTCTCTTTTAGTCCGTTTAAATACTCTTCTTAATTTGATACCTGGTAAGGAAATGCGAAAAGAATTGAGGAGTTCAGTAAAAATAACAAAATTAGAATAATTGGTTATTCAAACTAAGGGGAACAATACAATTGTAGGAAATTATGATTAAATTCTGGAATAAAATTTGAAACAAATTGATTTTATTAGATGCTGTAAGATGCTGTTAAGGTTTACAAGCTGGTTTCAAATCAGAAGCAAATTCACGACTGAGTAGTTAATCAGAGGCACTAATTGAGGCAATACTCTGAGGCACTAATAATTAAAAAAACATGACTAAACATTAAAAAAACCTCAGAGGCAGCATTTTACCAGGTGCTCAGTTGCCTCTTGTAAATTTGTTATAATTCATCCATGTTTCAAATGTTGCAAGAAAATTTTTACAAGGTTAATAAACTTGAAAATATGCTAATTTTTATAATCATTTTATGTATCTATTACTATGCCTTTGTACTGAATTGCGAAGTACAAAGGCATAGTAATAGATACATAAAATAGTAATACTATTACTTTGTACTGAATAGATCTTTGTACTGAATTGCGAAGATATGAAACAAGGAGAAAATTTAGCAAATTATGTTTCTGAGTGCTCTTTGTCATACAGGGAAGGGAAAAACTCCTAATGGTATCTAAAATAGAGGACTGAGTATTTAACTTTTTCCAAAATTATTTAGTGACCTTAAACATTGAAACAAATGCATTATTTTAAATAAATGCAAAAAATTCTATATTTTGTAAATAAATTATTTTTTTTCTTGGTCACTTTTTTGAGCTCATCATATTGATGTAAGCTATAGCTCTTTATTTCAATTTCTAGTCAGCGGATTTTCAGTATAATCTCCGTTGTATTACCTTTATCTCAGACGTCAGATTTTCAAAATTAGGATGACAGGATGATAGAAGTTCAATCAATTCTTTCAGTTCATACATAAATCAATAAATAATAATTAAATATGACCATATATTGTATGCGCATGCGAAAAACAACTCTATTCCAAAATATTTCATCCTGAATTAAACTTTTATGGATGTTTAAATATGCGTTTGGCATTTGAAATAAATTTTATTAAAAATGAATTATAAAAATGCATACGTAATTTTGTATTTTTCTCACCCTATAATGTAAAATGAAGTGGATTATCAGACAGTTTTAAATGAGAGCAGTTCGTTCAAGAGCATCCTTTAGCATTCTTCATTTATAGTGGATACTGTTTTAAATAACGAATACTAAGAAAGGAAGTAGATTTAGTTCCAGTACATATTACCAAACGCGATTACACGACATTCATTTACATACACCACACACATTTAATATTAGTTAAGAAATAACGAATGTTTGTTTAAATATAGAAATTTAGAAATTGTTGATAAAATTCATTTAAGAGGCATTCATAAATACGTTAAAAGAATCCTGAAACTCCTTTTTATACTATTCACTGTTAATCAAGTGTGGTATAACATAACGAACACCCAGAAGAACAAATGCTACAGAAAATGAGTGAGAATGAAATGAATGAGAAAAAAAAATCCGCTTTAGGTAAGTAAGTTTGTAGGACTATAGTTTTAAAGGTTAAACAGAACCTTCTTCTTCAGGTGAAGGAATGAAAATTTACTCATATTTCGTCCATTCCCATTGCTAATTTTTAGCTTCTTAAGCACACATAATATTTTTATACTTGCAAAAACTTAGTCTGTGAATTTTGTTTGAAATTCAAATAATGAAATAGCATAACTTTTAGGTAAATTGAATATTTTATAACTAATATCATATAAAAGTTCTTGATGCAAAATTACAAAGCAATGTTTGAATTTGCAGACCAAGACTTTTCGCAGAGAGAGTGACTATTACCACAAAACGTAATCATTGTAACTGTATTAAGGCAAATAAGCAAACTTTATGCTCAGAAATCTTATCATACTGTTAAGAACTATTTGTAACCAGTGTATCGACAGTTGAAAACTTTGAAGAGATGTTTAAAATTCCATCATGATTTGCAAATGCATGATTTATTTGAGATGCAAATTATGACAAATAAATGCAAAATTAATCTACTAGAAAATCTTCATAAAATAAATGTATTTGATTTTGCAGGAACATAGTTAATGTTTTCTTCTATTAAAATTAAAGGAACTTCACGATTCAAATATACACGAGACGCAAGAAAGATACAGACTCGAATATTTTCTAAAAGTTCCTTCTTTTGTACATTTGTGCTTATGCTAATACATTTATAACCTTTTGCTCATTATGTTTGGACATTGCACGAAAAAAACACCGGAAGCAAGAGTTTTAAGAACAAAACACAAGAAAGATAAGCAAGAAATAAAAACTATCATATTTATTTAAAAGATTTTTGCAATTATTTAATTTTCTATTTGAATTCCTTATACATAATATCGGTAGCTAAGAGATTCTAAATTTATAGAAGAACAGATTTGCTGATTCCGGTCCCCCATAGTCCAAGTCCAGCAGGAATGCCAATGGCAGCATTATGTCCGATGACACTGCTGTAAGCAGCAACAGGAGCTGCAGCTGCTAGGACTGGTGCAGCTAAAACCGGAGCAGCAGCTACTGCAGGACCGACGGGAGCAACGGGTGGAGCATAGGGACTTGCTATCATGGCGGCAGCAGGGGCACTAAGAGCGGTGCCGGGTTCGTTGGTCTTGACAGAAGCTCTGAAACCTAAGGCGTCTGCGACGTAATCCACTCTGCGAGCTCGGCCGTCGATGTCAGTTATGGTGTAGGCTCCTTTCTTATTTCCAAGGGCGTCTCCTACTTCAGATCTGGAGTTGGTGGCTCCTGCACCGTTGGCAATGTCATAGCCGAAGGCGTAATTCCCAAGGGTCTAAATGAAAAATTTGGAGTTTTAAATATGTTTAGATATTTATTTTATACCAATGCTTACTTGATAGTGACCATTGTGTAAACAAGTTTTTCTAAAATATGTAGGTTCTTTCTACATCGTTTAATTTTCTATTATAAAATAATTCTAATGATAAAAAAAATCAATTTAAATAAACGTAGCACCGAATGTGTTAAATATTGGTAACTTGGTTATAATCTCTTATTTTAGGAGAAAGAGTTTTTGACATAAAAAATGTCTACATCTTTAGATTTCTTGCGCCTCTTTTCATTATGTATATTCTTAACGTTAGAAAGGTACACTGCTCAGGAGAAAAAAAAAAAAAAAAGAAAAAAGAAATCTGAAATGTTTCAGATTTTAAATTACGTCCAAAGGGGCGTTTTTTAACATTTTGTGTGTTACCTTTCTTTATTAAATATCATGTTCCTCGCACTTAAACCATAAGATCCAGTGCAACAGCAATATCGCAAAATAGTTTTAAAACGAGCCTATCTTTAGAATTTCCGATACAGAGACTCACGCGCTGGAGATAAAAATGTTTTTTCTGCACAACGTTGCCATTGCTCGCTTTGAAATCCTTGAGTTTGTTAATCAAAAATTCGTCAAAGTTTTAAAAAATAGGAAATCGATCATAAAACAAATTTCAAATTTCAAATTTGGTCTTCCACATGCTCATATTCGTTGGAGGATTACGTTATTCAAAATTCGATGACTCTATGTACCGTTGTTTTATCACAATACGAGAAATATACATACATTTATGCAGATTTTTCCTTATTTAATTTCTTCAAATATAATGCAGGACTCTAACATTTTGTGGGAACAGTTTGAAAAGTGAACCGACATTTATGAGTCCGACGCAAAATGCCAAAACGAAACTAATAGTCCTTCGGGATTCAAATCCCTTTGGACTAAAAAGGACAGCTAATCTATCTTCTGTTCTACTGGGTCGATTGACGAAATTTAAATTGCGTTTTTCATGTCTCGAAAACGCAACTTAGGATATATATTAGATTTACATATACAACTGTTCTAGTATAGGTATTTTGACATAAAATGCGGCTTTTTCTGAAATGACATGCAAGTGTTTTTCCATATTTCAATTCTACGACTCAAATTATGCCTAAATATTAAATTTTGCAAATTTTGGTGAGATATTTACGGAGAAATATCAAAAATTTATCTTGGCGTATTTTTTTCAGTTTTCGCCAAGAAGGGCAAAATTTCTTAATTTATAGTAAATTATTTTCCTTTTTTTTTTTTTTTTTTTCACTAAACGAGTTATGTGTAAAATTGTTAAACCGTATCGTTCGTTTTTCAAAAAAATTTTTATCACAGGTCGCTAATTTCATATGATAAATTAATTAGATTATATATTATTTTTTTAAAATAAAATTTTTTTATAAAAGCGAAAATGAAAATCGAATTAATATCAGATTTGCCTTAATAAGATTCAAGTAAGTTTTATATTTTATAACAATTACAATAATTGATTTGCTGTTTTAGAAATATTAATAAGATCTAATTTATCAAAAAAGTTCAGTAACTTTTAATAAAAATTATTTAAATAATTAAAATCAAAATGGAGAATAAAAAAACTAAAATGTTAAAATAAGATCATAAAAAGGTGATTGAATAATAATTTTTTTCCTCTGTTAATTAAGCGGATATAATATACTTTTTCAAAATGAAAAATAGCCATATACGTTTAACAAATTTTTTGTAAACTAAAAAATTAACTTCTGGGTGGAGCAACAAATAATTTTGCCTATGTTTTTATATCACTAAACAGTAAAATTTAAATCTTAGTGCGATATTTATTGAACAATGATATAAAAATTATAAATTTTATAAGCAATCGTGAGGCATATGTGTTTTACATGGATATAAACGTGCGACAGAAAGTTAAAAATTCAGATTTTTTTTCTTAGAAAAATTATTGGAATAATTTAAGTAAAATATTTGCTTTAAATATAATTGTCAGTTCAGACGACGAATGGAAAAATTGAGGCATTAAGATTCAATATATCGATGTTTCAATAAAACACTTGATAAATGCCCCATTGCTGCAAAATAAAAGTCTATTTATGCACACACTTGATAATTTTCCTTAATTTGAGCTAATGACTAATCACTTAATAGATATATTTATTTAATTTGAGATAATAATTATTATTTTGAGCTAATTATTAGCCCACCAGTGGCCGAGCGGTAAAGTCGCTGAACACTGGTAGTTCGGTCCGAGGTTCGAATCCCGCGAACGGGCTGGCTGCATGGGTGTTTTCGTGGTTTTCCCCATGTGTAACGTGTATACGAGCCAGTTTCCCTTAGAAAGTCCTCCACGAAAGGCATCCCTCCTCTTAGGCAGATAGCCCTAGTGTGCTTTGCCATAATTAAATACACCGACACCGACACCGAGCTAATTATTAATGATTATCTAATAATTTTAATCAAATATTATAATTCCTGTATTTCTAATCAATGTATAAAAGGCAGAGAATGGGCTTGATAAATATGTATTAGACTGAACGTAAATATTAACTTTTTTTAAAAAATAAGATACACATTTTGCACTTATATATTCAGTCACGTATAGATGCATAACTTAAAAACGTACACAGAATTTTTTTTATTCATTAGCGTAAAGGAGCAATTTTCCCATAAGGGCTACTAATTTCGTTTCGGCATTATGCATTGGTTCACTATAAACCGGGTTTCACTTTTCAAACTATTGCCACCAAATATTAGAGCTCTGCATTCTGTTTAAATAAATTAAATAACGAAGAATCTGCATGAATGTATGTATGTTTCTCGCACTGTGGAAAAACAGCGGTACCTAGAGACACAAAAGTTTGAATAACGTAGTCCTCCATTCGAATACAAGCATCTGGAAGCCCAAATTTGGAATTTGTTTTATTATCTATTTGATATTTTGTAAAACTTTAACGAATTTTTGATCAACAAACTCAACAATTTCAAAGCGAGCAATGGCAAAACTGTACGAATAAACAACATTTTTATCTCCAGAAAGCGAGACTGTGTAGCGGAAATTCTAAAGATATGCTGTTTTTAAATTATTTTGCGATATTGCTGTTGAATTTAATTTTATGGTTTAAGTGCCAAGAACGTGATATTTAATAAATAAACACACAAAACGTTAAAAAAAGTCCCTTTGGGCTTAACATAAAATCTGAAAGCCTTCAGATTTATTTATTTATATTAATTTTAATTCATACTCACATCTTGCTGTCTAGAGGAAGTACTGATTCCCGTACTAAGGATTGGAGCAGAAAGAAGAGCGGCCGCATTGGCAGCTGCGAATACAACGCAGAAAACAGCAACCTATAAAAAAAAGGCAAAATATTTTATTTTGTAAGAAATCCCCGTCTTTTTTACCATGTAATTTTTATAAGTGTTTTTGATTAATTTTATGTTAGGTATAAAATCCTTAATAACATATGGAGCAACTTTGTGCAAGGTTATTTTGCAATCATTATTTCCTTAAAAGTAATGAGAAAGTAAAGTACTTGACTGGGAATGTAGTACCTTAATTCTAATTAATGTTTTTTATGATATGCGCAAGTTGTACTCTTATACTTTCTACTCTTAAAAGTCTTGTAATTGTATGTAAAATATACGTCCATAAATAATAATTTAGTGATTCCAGGAAAATAGACTTTTCCATATTTTATTGTTTTATAGATGTTACTTTTAAAAAGAATGTTTGCCTAATTGCGAGCCATTGTAAAAGCTTGCAATTTTAATGAATGATAAATGTTTGCTGCTCATGAACGTTTGTGTGAATTTTCCAGTGTTTTATTAGAAGCATTTCTCAAGAATTTCAGTCTGATTGGCAACGAGAAGAAAATCTTAGCTGCTTAATATAAGCTCCCACTTTTAAAGGATAAACTAAAAGCCCGTTTTAAAATAAAAGAACTCGTTAATTGCACTATTGTTTAATAATGAATATATTAGAGATATGTAAATAATTCAGTTTTTTATTTTCATATTTTTTCTAAAATAGTGCAAAACAGCTAGATAAAAAGTAAAAAACCGGTGTGGATAGGATACCACATGACATCTTTGTACGGAATATTAAACAATACACAATTTTTACTGCATTTCTTTTAAATTTATTTCCTAGAATTTCAATAGACGTATATTTTTTACTCAATTAATTTTCTCACTTCGCAGCAAAGCAAAAATGTATAAAAACTCAGAGCGTCTTCATTAGAAAAACTGTAAAAACACTAAAACCAGTTTAAAAAACTTTTGCAATTTAAATTAGAATTTCTACGCTAAGACAAGTAATTCGACTTGCAGGTAGGAAGACAGATTTTTTGGTGCACAAAATTGAAAGTTTACTTTTGATCTCACTCGGCAAAAAGACACTGAAGTTGTTGACTGACCTATTTTTTATTAAACTAAGCGTTTCAAATATAAACAAATGGCGGCCTAGTTAGGCTAATCACAACTTAAACTGTTGAAATTCTACAACTACTGCATGCAGATTAACTAAAGACATTAAAAACCTTAATTGGAACAACATAATTCAAATAATAAGAACAACATATTTCAGTCACTTTTTTAAAGCAAAAAATTCGCAATTTACCAGCATATAAGAATAAAAAGAATGGTGTCACAGAACGGTGTAACGGAATGGGTTTATTTATATATATACATTTGGTGGGACCTATTGCAACAAAAAGGGAGGCAGTCCATATACAAAATTTCAACGTTCTAAGGCTACTCGTTTTTGAGTTATGTGAGATACATATTATATTTAATTTAAGTTGGTTTAATTCAAGCAGTTACGTGTATTGCAATATATGGAACTGCTTCAGGGATTCTAATAAGCACTATATAAACCTTGGGAAGATATAAGCATCGGCATTTGGAAACTGAAGCTATGGGAATGGTAAACCAACCTGAGTGATTTTAGCAGGATGATGGTAAAAATGCTTTAGTAAATAATTTGGAAATTAACATTTTTCAATATAAAGGTAATGAAGCAGTAGATAGAAACTGAACGGAATAATATTTATTTTTTTAGTTTTTTAAAATATCAACAAAGTTATTGAAGATTAGAGAAACTGATTTGATGTTTGTTTGTTCCTCAGGAAAATTCATATCACTATTAATTTATGTTAGTTTTAAATCTTAATAATATAAGCACAGAAAGCGGAAAACTGCATTCATATTAGCATTTTTTTATTTTTCATATGTCTGCGATTAAGGTATTAAGACTCTTTACAAAATTTTGTTTCGTACAAGCAACGTTCATAAAGTGTACTACTACCTTCAAATAACTCGTGTTCAATTATTTCAGAGCATGGTTATTGATATCAGTAAAATGAAATAAAAACCTAAAGAAAGAGAGTAAAAATATACTCTTGTAAAAATGTAAAGAGTTTAAGTCGCCAAAGTATACGTTCTGTCTTAATCCCGTATAGGAGCAAAAGTTGGATCCCCTGCAAGAGCTCTCTGAATCTAATATAATTTTACTGTATGCTTATGTACGTCAGATATAAAATATTATATATATATATATATATTATCATGCATTCGTCAGTACCGATAGATATCCGTCAGTATCGGAGATAAAATAATATATGAAAAGCTTGACGTTTTTTGCATTCACTGCGAAACATCTTGCATACCGGCATTCCTGATGTTATTGATATTATTGTTAGTTACTTCATTTTTAAAATACAAAATATCTTAAATAATATCCTATAAAATTTTTCAGTTAATCAGTTGAAACTTTTTAATAGAAAATCTGCATTACACACTTTTTTAAATCTTTGCTGTTTCGAGACAGTGTTATCCAAATCTAAGGTCACATGTGAAATGATATAATAGCGGTCTTTTAATAACCTGGAGAAGGAAAAGTTCTTACCTTGGCAATCATTTTCGCTGTTACGATTTAGTGACTTCGTAACCCAATTGATGACAGAACACCAGGTAATGGTTTATATACTAAGAGTCAAGGCTTTCCACAAGGTCAATGAGATCAATGGAACACTCTCAAGAGGGTTGGGCACCTGAATAAAATTACTTATAAAACGCGTGATGCATGCCAATTATTCCGTTTGTTTTCGCATTTTTTTAACCTTTGACTTCCGTTCTCTTTTTCATTTGATGCTCAACAAAAATAAGCTTGGATGCTAGAAAGCTAAACAACACGAAGAGAATCATTTCTTCCTGATTCACGGTCGTATTCACGTCCTTGAATTTTAAACATGTATTTATTGTATTAAATCTCGGTCTCTGTATATTTTTTTCTGAATTGTATCAACGTTAATGAATATTAGATTAGTATTTGGATTACTTATATTTAATACCGCTGATTTTTTTAATAATTATTAACACATTTGTAGGTTAAACGTAAAATGCTTTAGAAACTTTTTTATTCATTTACTAATCAATTGGTTTTCCCTTCAATAAAACTGTCACTGTAAGCTGTGTTACTAAAGTTGCCTTAGGCAAAATACCGAACTTAAATTTCATTTACTTAATAATGGGATTTCTTGAAGTTAATAGAATAATAATATGTGAAGCAACTGGCCAACGAAGCATATTAATCATTACAAATAAATAAATATTTATTCTTCTATATAACTTGAGTTACGGAAGCTTTGCCATTAAAGGTATTGATTTCAGACACTTAAAATTATTTTAACGTTAGTATTCTAAAATACAAACAAACAGTAATTTTGAAGATTAAGTAAAAGCTGCTTTTTTCTTGTTGCACCTCCACTGGTCAACGGAGTAGAGACTTCTGAATACCTGGGTTCGAACCCAGGTACTCAGAATGGGCTATCTGCATGGCTGAGTTTCGCGATTTCCTATTATGTAACATGAATGCAAACCAGTTTTCGTTAGCGAGTCCTCCATGAAGGCATCCCTTCTCTTATACAAATAACTTTGTGAGCTTTTCCATATTCAAAGAACATGTAAGGTATTTCTCCCGTTTTTCCCAGCGTGCCTTCGTGGTGTAGTGGTTCTGCACGCAGGGCTGGTATTCCAGAGTTTCGTGGTTCGATTCCCAGCGAAGGCGTTTGCTAATTTTTCATTTCTCTGGCTTCGAAAAAAAATCCTAATGTATCTACAAACCTGTCTTTCTTTTCAGAGATTTTAGTCGGATCTTGGAGTTTATTAGTTTCCCTGTCTTATTCGGAATAGTGTGGCAGAAGAAGAGACATACTTAGCGTTTTTATGCGATGTTTATTAATGAAGTAAAGTATCGCACTCAGAATTTTCCTGATCTGAATTTAATTGAAATAAGGAACAAGCTCATTTTAATGATTTACCTTTCAGATTGTTTCTATATAAAATGCAACGACAGAATCTGCAACTATAGCCGTAATTTTCAGTTTTTAGTTTTAAAAACGGAAAGTTCAATACATACACCCATTTGTATTTATATTTTTCAAATTACATTTTGCTTTAAATCTCTTTTCTTATATTTATTTGACAAGCCTTCTGTTTACTGATTTACAGAAAGCCAAAACTGTGCCTCTATAATTTAATGCCTTAGGCAAAGCTTTAAAAAAGAGAGCAGGAATACAAAATTAAGAAAGAATAATTAAACATTAATAATGAAATAATGAAAGACCTAAAATAACATTTATTACATTCTCATTACTATTTCATTTATTACATTTAATTTTATTCCCCTTTATATGCTTCGGCATGTGTCTCATTCTCCATCTCTTCGGAATTGCCGAGCAGAATTTGGAGGTAGTTTTGAATGTACTTTACTTCATTATTATTATTACTGTTTAAAAAACAATATCTCATACCATAATCAATTGAAATGTTATATACATGGTTGAATATTATAGTTATTTTTCCTCTTATTATGGATACGAAAGAATATATTAAAATAATTTTAATTAAACTTCTCCCAGAATACATTTCTTTGCGAAATTAAATGTGCGATATAAAATTTTGAGCTATTATATGTGAATATTTATCTCATACACTGGGTTAACATATGAAAGGAATCTTCCCCGAATCCAGAAAACATGAAAATCAACTGTCTCCTGCCCCAGAATTTCAACCAACTTTCCACTTGCTGATTGGAAATGTTAACCACTTACACAACGAAAATATGTGCGGGGAAATACGATAGTTCCTTACATCCCCAGTCTTTAAAGGGAAACAGCAGAAAAGCACGAAACGCAGTATACTGTAAAACGGTCACAACTAGCTATCATCTTCTATATTTTAGGTCGGCATTACTATACAGAATACAGTCTTTACGGAGGAAGAAGGCTAAAAATCGAAATGCGCCATTTCGCAATTACTAACTGGAAGTGTCAACGTCTAAATTATGAAAATACGTATTTGAGAGATACATCTGGAGAGAGACACAAGACATATTTGACCAAAACTCGCCGGCCACTACGTTTTAGCGTAAAAGGAAATGTGAAAAATGAAATGCGCCATTATAATCACTGCGGATCATCCATTTGCTAGTTGAATGAATTGACCACCTATAAATTCGTCTTCAAAATAATTGTTTTGAGAAGTATTTCATAGGTACGTCCTACTTTAGTAAAACTATTGGGAAATATTTCTCAAATTTTTTTTTAAATTTAGAGTGGAAATATTTCATGTCTGAAGACTTGTACAAAAGAATTTTAAGAGTAAAAGACAAAACATCATTCAGATAATGAAATTGTTTTATTGTCATTATTACAATCAAACTGTTAGTAAAGTATATCAATTATTTAAATCCCTTAAAATATTATGACATAAATATTACGTAAAAATAAAAGAGTAAGTTAAGTTAAAATGAATGGTGGGTCAAGATAAAAAAACCAGCAAAATGTTTTAACAGATATTAGAACTTCATTAAGAAAATTGTAAAAGCTTAGTTAAAAATATACTTTACATTTTCCTGCCTAATTAAGAAAGCATTTTAGAAAAACACCTTTATACCTTATTTCATTAGATTTTGTACAGGGCTTGAAGTCATTTTTGTTATTTTTTGTTGACTTTTATTTCTTTGTACAAAGTAAAAGAAGTATTGCAATCGCGAAAAATTTCGGGTATCATAATTTCAACAAAAGTATCCATTTTGTCCGCTCTCGAACCTATTTGAAAGATGTTTTCGCGCGACATTTGTACGTACGTACAGAATAAAGACTCTCTGTTTCAAAACGATCGTAAAATAGATTCAGGAAATATTTTTTTTCATGGCGTCTGTAGGTATGTATCTCGCGTAGCTCAAAAACGAATAGCCGTAGAAAGTTGAAATTTTGTATATGGGACTGCTATAACATGTAGTTGTGCACCTCCCTTTTTAGTTGCAATCGGCTGCATCAAAGATATACATATGCATACCCACTTTGTCACCCCACTCGGTGTGAGTCAGTTTTTACTTCCTTGTACGAAGTAAAAAGGAAGTATTGTAATCGCGAAAAGTTTCAGGCATCATAGTTCAACGCAAATATCCATTTTCACCGCTATCGAATGCAATTTAACGATGTTTTTGCGTGACATCTGTACGTAAGGGCAGGATAAAAGACTCTTTACCCCCCAAAAAATTGTAAAACTAATTTAAAATGAATTCTAAAGGGAATGTTTCGTGGCGTCTGTGCGTACGTACACATGTATCTCGCATAACTCAAAAACGAGTAGCCTCAGAACAATGAAATTTTGTATATAGGACTGCTATAACATGTCGATGTGCACCTCGTATTTTGGTCGCAATCGGCCGCACCAAAAGTATATATCCAATCTGTTACTCGGCTCAGTGATCTCAGTTTCTTTACTCTTATATGTTTGTAAATTGTGCATTTTCCTGCTTTAAAAATGATTGAATTATGTTGTTCTTATTTTCCGGTTAAGGTGTTTATGCCTTTAGTAAATCTGAAAGCAATATTTGTAGAATTATTAACAATTTAAAAGCTGTTTAAGTGCAGCTAAGCCTAATGAATTTTGCGGATGGCGGACATGTTTGTTTTGTTTACATTTCATTCATCTTGTTAATATTCAGTATCAGTCTCATGCTTAACAATAAGTTTAAAAACATATCGTAGATAACCTACGCCTCTAGAAAGGGTTTCTTAATGTCAATAAGGTATAATATTTCTTCATTTATAAATAATTGGGTGATTCAGTAAAGAAAAACATTTCTAGATCATTTTCTACCTCCTTCTGCCTTCAGAGAAAATGGCTGATGCAATTTTACAATTCAGTTGCTCTATGGACCACTGCGTTATTCATTAAACGCATTCTAGTGGCCTTCGAGAGGACTGGAAGGTGTGGCATGTAAACAACCTTTCGTTGAACATTTCCTGCATCTCTCGCACCCCTGAATTTTCAAGGTTGTCAAAAGGTATATAAACTTATACCTGAGATTATGAAGATATTACTCATCCTTGTTGTTAGCCTAGCTTAGCTACATCTGAAAATGATTAAGGTAAGACATTAAATCTTTTTTGCAGATTTTTTAGAAACATAAGTTTTAGATGTATTGTGATTATTACCTATAATTTTGCATAAAATGCCAATGAACAAATATACTAAAGAAACGTCTTGTTCAAGAACTCGTGAAATTCATTGTAGGTTCATCATTCATTCACAGTTTTTATGTATAAGTATTTGTTTAAATAGTATGTATTTGGTTTCATAAACGACTCTTAAGTGATGCTAAAAATTATTACCGTTAATTTGTGAGCCATGAACGTCTTTGAGCCAATTTATTTTATATTATCTTTTAATAAAGTGGGAAAGCAGAAAACAGCGTTTTTTGATATTATATTAAATGGGAATCAAATGAACAACATTTGTTAGCTATAGATTTCAATACTTCCGTGAATTGTATCAGTTCACTAATTTTTGGCTCGTAAAAATTTTTAATGTAAATTTTAGGTTCACGATTTACTTGCTTATTATAGTTAGAAGAAAAATTATTATAGTTAGAAGTATATTAAACTATTATAGTTAGAAGAAGCCGTAGTAGCTTTGCGTGATTATTTAGTTTGAATGAGATAATTAGTAAGGATGGATTTTTATTATATTTATTTTAATAGATTAACTTATTAAGGTTATATGAAATTTACGACGTTATTTCGAAGTATACCCATCTTTGATGAGATTATAATTAATAAGGATGGAGTTTTGTGAAAAAGTTTGCATAACAGCAAAATTATTTCGAAAAATTATTATTATCCAAAATTTAAATAAAATACGTATGGAACAACCTAAAGCTGTAATTTTCAAGGTTTTGATTGTTAGGCTTACACTTCAAATAATATTTGTGTTTAAATCTGTTTAAGTAATGAATAATTGTTTGTGGATTAAAAAAACTTCCTGAAATTTATCTATCATATTACGTATGAAACCTGTTTCGGAAATTATATATACAGAGTGCATAAAAAATTAGCTAAAAGTATTATTCAATTAAAGTTTTAACATAAAACCGTATAATAGGTTACAAAGTTTGTCATAATAAAGAAGAAAATTTGGGGAAGAATTCTTAATAATTGAGAGTGAAGATCTGAAAAAAATAAGATCTTTAATTCAAGTGCCAGAGAATTTCGATTTGTAAAATGTTTCTTGCTAGAGGAATAAAGAAAGTTTCTATATTTTGCATGTAAAAGGTACAAAAGGTGCAAAGTTTTAATTAAAGTATCCATCAGAGCAGCTAAAAACCTATGCTAAAAATGTTGGTTTATATTATACAGAAACAGTGATCTACGAAATAAGTTACTGTTGTTTTGTAAGTGCTACTTAAATTTAGTCAGAACATTTTGCAGTTTGGACATTAAAGTTAGTAAATTGTTTCTTAAATAATTTGACGAAATTTGCGGGTAAAAGAATAGAGCTTCTCTGCTTTTTAAAGTCTAATGGAATGTTTAGCAATTTTTTCTATTTTCTATTTGATGACCACATCAAAATTTAAACCGTAATTTAAAAAATCCTTCCAACCTTCATGTTGAAAATATTTTCGTGAAACACTGTGTTTGAAAAAACACTGTAATAAGAAAAGTGACTCTAGGAATAATATTAAAAATATAACGTGTGCAGCCACTTCATTTTTGATATTACCAAGTAGTTAGCATAAAAATGTAACGACGATATTAAGTTATTGACTGCTTAGAGTTATTGACTGCTTATGTTGGAATTAGAATGCTGCAATGTAGAATCATTAGGTTACTTTGAAGCAGGATACTTGAAAAATGAACAGTGTCCTCGCCAGGACTTGAACCCTGGACCTCTCGAATACGCGCCGAGTGTGCTAAACGTTACACCACGAAGGCATGCTGGAAGGAGGAAAGAAATACCTTATATACATGCTTCCCCTTTTAAAGGACGAGTGGGGATTAGAAGATCCAGTCGCCAAATTCTAGTGGTGAAGAATCATCATCCACCACCTTTTAGTTCGTACACCAATGTACAGTCATTAGTATTATTTGAAACAGTAGACATGAAAAATGAGCATTGCCGTCGCCGGGACTGGAACTTTGGACCTCTCGAATACGCGCCGAGTGTGTTAACCATTACCCCCACAAAGACAAATAAAAATATGCTATAAATTTTAAAAATTGTTAAAGGGCCTTTATATTTTTGTCTTTCAGATCGCCGTCTTTTTTGCTGTTGTTGCAGCTGCTCATGCCGCAACTCTAGTTGCACCTGGACTGTGGAATTCTGGAATTTTGGTCCCGTCAGCTGTCTCCACTAGCTCTGTTGTCGGCATTCCCGGTGCCATAACCACCGAGAGAAGGGTGATTGGAACAACCGGACTTTGGGGTGGATCTCCCTTGCTTCTTAGTAATGGGATCATTGGAAATGGCATTATCGGAGCTTCTCCTCTGAGTCTCAGCAGTGGAATCATCTCTCCACTTGGCATTCCTAACGCTGGAATAATTGCTTCACCTGGAGTGGTCAAAACAATTCTTAAATGAAAGCTAGCTACTGATTGCTCAATTTAATTTTGTTCATGTTACCTTTCGAAAATAATAATAAATTGTTTTAATACTTCATTTTAAAAATTATTACTGAATATGTTTTAAAAAATTACAAAAATATATAGGGTATTGTGAAAAGAGCAACGTATAAATACTTGCAAATATATTGGAAATTGATTATTGCAAGGATTTGTATGAAGCAAGACCTAAACGGATACGGTGTACCCGCAACATAATAAATAATTAGCATGTTTAGATATTGATATATATGTTAGACATATTGATTACGTTTTGCTGGCATTTAAATGAGGTTCTAATGCCACACTAGGTATGGACTTCAATGGGCGAAGTGACCTTGGTTACACAGTATTACTCAGAATTATTTTATGGATATTTTATATTAGGAAAAGCTAATAAATAACATGTATTAATTCTATTTCAAAATTTTTATTTTCTGAAAACTAAGCTGTAACAAAATATTGATATAATTTATTAAAGAGAAGGGTGCAAGCATATTAAAGTACATTTAATCCTTGAATTTTACATTGGTAGATCACAAATTGGACATGTGTTTTTTTATGCCAAATTGTGATAAATGTTGCATGTTAAATATCTGCCTTAAAAATTTAATCATTTCAAGGTAATATATGAAAACATCATGAAGGCAAGTAATTCTCTGTTTTTGTAAAGTGTAAAAAAATATAGAGGAGTCGTAGATGTAAGGATCTCTTATAATTAGAATAATACATTATCATTTTTCGTCAGAGATGTTTAGGAACAACACATGAAGCAAATTTACTAATGATATTACGAAAAATAATAATGGCATTGAATTTATCGATTGCATAAACACAGATTACAAAAACTACATTAGATTATTGATTACGAAAACAAACTGCAGAAGAATAAATGCTTCATTAAAAAATCTAAATAGAGATCAAATTTAAAATATTCAGTTTTCAACAATGCTAAAATAATCTTTTAAAACAAACATCCAAACCTCTTTTTGCAATTTCAAAAATCAGCTTTTAATTACACAAACATTTAAATTTAATAGTCTTTAGAAAATCAGTAAATCAGGTAGTAGAAAGCTTTGTAGATTTATAGAAGAGTGTGAAAACATAGTCCACTCTTCTATAAATCTGCGAAGTTTTTGTTGAAGCAATATTGCATACAGCAAAGAAATCTAATATTTTATTCTTGATTATCCATTCTTGAATACATGCATGTATACACATCACTGTATTAAAAACTTCTGATTTTAAAACAAAATTATACCAATATTATTTCCGCGCAATATGCTGCTGAAATTTAATCAGTTATAGTAGATTAAAAAATGAGAAATTTAGAATTAAATCCAGAAAGACATGAAAGAAATGGAATTTAAAACCAGTAAAATCCAAACCTCCCTATAAATATATAAAAAATAAACTGAGAGGCACCAAACCAGAAGAATTATAGACACAAAGTGGTAGTTTAATGTTCAGACTTCATCGACAAGAGTGAGTAATACAGATTAGATGACGGAGAAAATTTATTGCTCTTTTATTTTTAGAATGAAGACAGGAGTTAAAGGCCTATTAATTTATTATTTGAAAGCTAGATTTTTATAATTTACACACACACACACAATATATATATAGCGCTGTCGCCATGGCTGAGTTGCATGGCGAGAAGAAGAGGTTGAAACCAAACTATATTTAGCCAATTAAATATCTTTATTTGCAGATAATTACTAATAGACAATATACATTTTAATCATAGCAATTATGAGAGTTTAATTATGTGCATAGGTAAAAAGATGCGACGTCCTTTCAGGCAGAGAAGCATAAGCGGCGGAGAGTTGTTTGCCTGGCAGAAGTCAGGAAAAAAAGAAGTGTGGTACTCGTGACTCAGTATTTATACTTCGTAGGTGCAGAAAGTATTCTGAGCTATGATTGGTCAAGTTTGGGTTTTAGTTCCATTTTTCAAGCAGCGTTATGTAATTTGGAATGATCCCGAATTTGGGAGAAAGGATAAACTTAGGGGGAGGGCACCAAACCTAGAATATTAATTTTTGAAGTCGCCAGTTATTCTTAAAGCAGTTATCATATTCTGTTATAAATTACATAAACATATATAAAAAAAAGTCGAGAGATTTCGCATTAGTATGATATATATTATTAAAGGCGTGCAAAATGCTGAGAAATTAATTGATAAATCAAGATACAGTTAAATCAAAATTACATCTTGAAAATTTGGCAAACCTCTAACGGAAAATGCATGTAACAAAATTAAAATCAAAATTTAAATAAAAAATTCAATAAAATTAATAGAACTTATAAAAATGCAAAACATTGTTAAAAATTCCTTGGTTTTTTCCGAGGAGCAATCGAAGAATTTTTAACAGAGTCATGTTCCTGTGTTATATCTAGATTGATAGAAGTGGAAACATTTAAAAAATGAAAAAATTAAGAAAAAAATGTTGATTAACAAAATTAAAAGAATCGATTAAGATACAGTTAAAATTAAAGGGCTGTAAAAGTGCAAGCATGTAAAAGTTTTAGAAATTTTTTACTTTAATTAATTATCAAGATATAAGCTGCTTCAACGTGATCTCAAAATAAAAAAAATAATATATATAAACATTTTAAAAAGAATAAGAAAAAGTGTTCTTGAATAAGAAGCAAGGATAAATCAAAAATAATCTGTTCAAATAACCAATATAATTTTCGAACAAGAAACCTGACTAATAATTATGTAAATGGAGAGCAATGTGCTAAAATATGTACAAATATATAAAGACAGAATAGTTAGAAATTTAGAACCAAAACAACAAAGACATGAAAGAAAAGAAATTTAAAACCAGTAAAATTCTGGCATATTATGATGAAATAATATTAGAATATTTTCGTTTTAGAAACATTTTTATGATATTATATATCTATATATGCATCTATCTATCTTTCTGTATATATATATATATATAATTGATTTACTAAATAATATTGATTAATTGATTATATTATCTCCTAAGTTTAATTATAGTAGGATTATCTTAAAAGAGTGGATCCATACTAGTAAGTTATATTTTGAAAGATGTTTTGAAGTAACTTGAAAGTAAAATGTTAAAAAAGTAACTTGAAAGTAAAATGCGCAAGTAGTAGTAACTTGCTTTCGCACTTTCAAGTTACTTCAAAACATCTTTCAAAATATAACTTACTAGTATGGATTCACCCTTTTAAGATAATCCTATTATAATTAAACTTAAGAGATAATATAATCAATTAATCAATATTATTTAGTAAATAAATTATTATTAACTTACTTTGCAGCAATTGCGCAAGTAGTAGTAACTTGTTTTCTAAGATACTAAATGAATTTGAGATCATACAACATATATATATATATATATTATTATTATTATTATTATTATTATTATATATATATATTATTATTATTATTATATATATATATATATATTATCCTTTTAACTGTCATGCCCGAGATAATCTCGGGCACAGCATTGGTGTTCGAAAATGTCACGCCCGAGTATTACTCGGGGTAATTTTTTTTGAGTGCATCGTATTGTTATACCCGAATATATATCGGGAGACGTTTATTTCGTCTTCATTTCTTTGTCAAACCCGACTGTATCTCGGAAAAAGTTAATGTGCGCTCAATTCAATAGATAACAGCACTTTACTGAAGATTTCAAAGGTTAGAGGTTATAAGTTCTTTGGTTCAAAGTGCACGGGATCTTTTTGTTGTAAAATGGCGTCCAGTTCTTTGAAACGTTATATAAATGATTTAGATTCTTCAACCGAAGATGAAGGATGTGTGTCTAATGAGCAGTATTCATGATACTTCCATGGTCAGCCTCAAAAATAAAAAAAATGAAGATATACTCAAGCCGAAGATTGTTTCTGACTACAGTCTAAATATGGGTGGTGTAGATCGCTGTGATTAGGAAATATCCTTTCATCCAACAATCCGAAAACGTCATAAAAATATTATAAAAAGATATTTTTACATTTACTAGACAAGATACTTTGGAAGTATTTACTCTATAAAAATGTAGTTGAGAAATGTATTACATTTTTAGAATTTCGAATCCAAGTTGTAGAAGAGCTTTTACATAAATATGATGATGCAGCTTCTGGACAAAAGAATGTTGGCAGACCACCTACAATAGATAACCTTGCCCGTCTTACTGACCGACATTTTATTTCCTATATTCCTCCTAATCCTGTGAAAAATGAGCCTACAAGACAGTGTAAAGTGTGTTGTTCGAAAAAGGATAAAAATGGGAAAAAGATAAGGAAGGAAACACGATTCTGGTGTAGAGAATGTGGAGTTGGTTTGTGCTTGGAAAAGTGTTTCCAGTTGTACCACACAAGACTGAATTACTGAACTTCGAATAGGTATTCACTTTTATTTATTTTTTTTTCATTTATTTATTTTTTAGAAAATAATTAATTATTTTTTTTTTCATTTTTAGAAAATAATGCTCCGCTAAAAAGCGAACTTTACAACTGCCATATTGAGTAGCAGCCGCCTCAAGCAAATACGCAGTGGCTACAAAACTTTAAAAATTTTACCCATGTACTTCAAAATATCAATTTTTAACTACTTAAATATATTTTATTTTGTACTAAACATTTGATTTTTCCAATAAAAAAATTTGACAATTTGTGTACCCAAATCATCAAAATAACTCGACAGTTAAAGAGTTAAAAGCAAGGTTGTATCTATCTTATAATAATACATATCAATTTACATATATACATATACCAATTTCTAGGTCAAAGGGAATCAGGATTTATCTAATCTAAGGAAAAAGTACTGAAGTAATTATTAGTGAGCCTATTGTGCGATAAAAATGAACCGGAAAAGCTTAAAGATGTACTAAAATTAAGATGAAATATCCACATGAAAACCTTGCAAAGAAAGGAAAGCAAAATATTAATTTCCCTTGTTTACCATTTCGAGCAGAACTTGTCAAGGGGAGAGTGTTTGAAACCCTAAACCTGGGTAATTAATGATTTACGAATACATGTTTCGTTTCTCTGGACCATCTCAGACTTAAAACTATTTTGAACAAATTT